TTTATTATCGTGTTCATCGTTAACGTATGCATCTTCACGAAGTTTGCAATAAACACTATCAGAATGTGTGGCAATAAAAAAGCAGCTTTAAAAGAAACAACAAGTTTCGCATATCGCGGAAAAATGTCAAAAATTTCTGTTACACTTGCATTAGTAACAATTTCTTTTATTGTTTGCGTTTTTCCTGCAGCGTTATTTTCAATATTATACAGTGAAACTCAAAACTGGAGAAAGTTGGAAACGCATGAAGACGTACAGGTACAGCTACAGTTTACGCTTTCAACAACATTTTTTCTGATAAAAAATGTAGTAAACTTTTTCATTTATTTCTTGAGTGGAACGAAGTTTAGAAAAGAGGTGAAAGCGCTTGTTTGCAAATGGAAACAATCAAAACACCCGACTTGATCTATATACATATGTGCATAGTATTGACATTGCATTAGTATTGATCGAATGTTACACTACCGTTCACTGTACGAATAAACAAGATAAGTGTATTTACCTACACGTGTTTATACCACCGGACTTTTCATGATCTGCACGGGAAAAACAAACAAACAATAAAAACCACCAACAACAACAAAAGCAACACACAACCCGCATGCATTACTGATTATTCAAACAGGCCTTATTGAATGCACTACTGTTAATTCAAAAGTTTCGTGGTTCAAGATTACACATTTTTCACATTTTATACTGATATAATATTCACTATTGCTATACATACATATAATATGAAGCCTACTGATAATTCGTCATCGCTATGATATTTATTTATGACATGATTTTCGGTGGTTTATAGAAATATATCAGTGATATAAAACTGGTAATTTCAATGTTTTAAACAGTGAAATTACCACTTTGATAATTTCACTGTTTTAAATTTAAGCCCTTTACGTTGTTTCATTGAAATACCAGCGTGCACAGAACTTGGTACCAACTTAATGACGTGACATCGTAAATGACGTCACGTTGTATTATCATTTGGCGCGCTTTTCATTCAGTATTAGGTTTAATGTCTTTTTAAAACGTTTCTTTGCATATAATAAAAAGAAAATTTGCTTAGTTTAGTGTAAGATCGAAATATATTTCACCTTGTGAACACCAAAAGTTCATATTTCACTCGTGGCTGCGCCACTCGTGAAATATACCTTTTGGTGCTCACTCGGTGAAATATATTCAGATCTTACACAGAACTAAACAAATATCCTCTATATTATTAACTTTGTTAAACATATCGTCAGGAAGCGTGGTAGAAGTGGGGTTTTTTTTATTGATGTATACTACCCTTACACTACTCCATGATGTTAACAATAAATTGGATAATATACATGTTTACATATATATTAAGACTACACACAATGTAACCTGGAATCTTTAAGTAACACTTCTGTGTGTTGTTGATGTGTTTGTTTTATGCTGGCCGCCGTGACATCTTAAGTGTCAATTACCGTACAGTATATCTCTATACTCTATACACCATTTCTTTAAGTTCATATGTACATCTTGTATATCATTACGTATAGTACATTAATCAGATTGCATTTTGTTTTATATTTTTCACTTTTTACTGTATAATTTATCCTGTGTAATTTATACTGCTTTCCCTACATTGATATCACACTTGACCTTTGTTGATTTTTCTAAGGTATGTAAATATGCCGATGTGACAGCAAATGAATTTGGATTAAATATGTTATTTGGACAATTATGATATGGAGAGAGCAAAAGTGTTATATCCCCCCCCCACATTTTTGTAATGAATTACTGCCTGCTCTATCTGCACCTTTTGAAAAGCTATATAGGGGAGATAGAGCACTTCAAGATTTCCAAACAAGAGATGTAAAGCATTTCTTTAGGTGCATATTATGTTTTAGAAATTAGATTGGCCATGTAAGTCTAGACTAGTATAGCAATTTGAGACAAAGTCAATAGTTTAAAATTTCCAATGTTTGAAACAAAATTTAAATAGAGCATTTCAAGAATCAAGTGATGATAATGATTGACCTATACAGTAAGAGTCCGGATGGAAGTTCCATGTAAACACGTACCAACTCGCCCCCGAGTAGTATCACAAGAGTAGTATAGGCGTCGGCGCCTTTACTACTAACAAGCACGAAAAGGCGCCTGCAGTCCTTCTCCACCAGTAAAGGTAAAGTTGCCATATGAATTTCTTTGTGTCGACGAGACTCAAAACACGACCAAACAAGCCAAAAGCCTGCATTGTAAAATATGTATGATTGGAGTTGCAGTTAAAGTTATTATGTCGTTAATAATTAATCACCTGCTACTCAATATTCTGGTTTCGACTCGGGTCAGGCTAGCCTTCGGAAAGTCGGTGGTCCTCAGGCTCTTGGTCATGCATGAAAAAAGCACAAAGAGCCTACTAAGGTTTTTTCCACCAGTAAAACAGGAATGTCGCCGTATGACGTCTGACAGTGTCGATTTGACTTAAAATTCAACAAATACAAATCTTTTCTTCTACAGTTAAACGATTCAAGGAAAAATAAAAACAACTATTTCAGTATTCTTTATTACTACAAACTTACAAATAATTCTGTAATTGCGACATTTTTACAAAGTTTTTGGGGCCTAAGTTCTAACTGCAAATGAAATATCAATAATATTTTTTCTTCGGAACGCAGATATACAATACTTTACGTGGTCGTATGTTATCCTACTTTCAAAATATATAAGAAGTACTTTGACCTATAAAATAACTTTTAATCCAATTTTGAGCATTCCTTTGGGGAATGGAAATACAGTCAGGACTGTATGGTTTGGTTTGCAATTCTATTGTGTCGGAGTCGGAATACGAATGTTCCGTTATAAAGGATATTAATAACGTTGAAAAAAATTGATTCCCTCTTATTCACTGTCGTTTTTTGAATTTGTCAGTATAATGGATTCGATGTATCGAGTCCTGACTGTAGTTTTCTACGTAAAGATCATTATTATAAATTAAACATACGATTTAACATAATACGTTGATATACGCTACAATAAAATATTATCACATTTTTAAAATGAATATTTGTTTCTTTAGCAAGAAGCTCTTTCAATATTTTATAGTTATATCTGAAATACTTTAAAAAAAACAACACGCAATAATAACAACATAAAATAACAATAAATAGCAAAAATGCTCAAACAACAATGTCGTAAAGAATGAGATTTATCGCCCTACAAAAGCAACAATAAAAATTTAACACTTGAAGCAGACTTTTTTTAAATCGAATTTATACTTCAATTTACAAGATTATTGTCACACTTCTGGCGTAAAGCCGTTTTTACAACCTTATTGAATAATAAAAAACGCTAAAACGTGCCGTGATTTAGCGCAAGAAACACATTGGCAGTAACAACAGTTATCATAAGAACTCCAGGACATATTTGAGGCATCACAAGAACTCCTTGACATTTAAAAAATCTGGTATAAATTTGTTAGTCGGGGCTTTATGTTTGCAATTTTGCATTATAATTAGGTAATTATTCACGGCAAGGACGAAGACTTGAAATAAACGGCCAATACTTGCTAATTGGCAAATAATTTGGAAATTTTACTCAAAACTACCAGATTTTAAGCAAGAAGCAATGAAAAATGGACTATGAATTAGATTTTGACACATAATGCATTATGTAAGGCAAGCTTAATCATTAAAATTCAATTAAGCATCTAAAACTAACTCATTTTTTAAAGATGAAAATTTCCATTTTTTACGAGTGTTTTTGCAGTATATACAATAGTTTGTCGACGAACTCCGTGACAGTTATCACAAGAACTCCTTTGTAAGTTATCATTAGAACTCCATCCCTCGTGTAACACTTCCTCCCACGTGTACTTGTTTTTAAAAGAAAAGGTGTCAAACACTTTCTATCGTCAAAAACGCGACAATCCGAGATTTGGATATTAAGGGATAACTCGACAGGGATTTGTTACAACCATTATCAGTTACGCTTCAGCTAGATAGTCCAGTCTGTTCCGCTAGAAAGTGTAAAATTATCCTAAAGCATCGACAAAGGCGTTTAAAAACGTCATAAAACTTTGCTGAGAATAATTATTATCACAATATTACAATCACTTCTTTCGGCAACTATAACAACGCCACAGGTCACACTTAGAATCATCGGTATCTAATGTTGCGTTAATCAGTATTGTAATGTATTGTGACTTACAATAATGATTTGTTTTAATTTCCAGACTTAAAGATGTCACAGTATCAAAAATAGAAATGAACGAAATCCGTACCTCTCACACTAAACGACAAAAATGAAAGCGTTGTAGGTTCGGTTTGATCGAGCCTATTCATGGACGGTAATAGAAAGTGCAAGTTCCCGACCACGCCTTAGCATCGGCTTAAGCAGAAATCAACATTTAGACACGAAAATGGTGTAAATGGTGTATTTGAATTGAGAAATATCAAGCCGATATATTTTCACAACATACATAATTTGAATTCTTTTAAAGCAATAGGGAATTTTAGATTTATTTCGGTTATCTTTTGTCTCTTTTTAGACAGCCATATATTTTATCGTTATGTGTTTTTTTTCAAGCTGTTCTGTCTTTACTATACAAGTCGAACTTACACTGTCGAGCCAGACCTTCTATTGCCCAATTCTGTATTACAACACAGGAGGCCTTTAACGTCTGCTCTAAAGATACGGGCGTTCAGAAAGTAAAGAAAGAAATTTGCAGACGCGTTAACCTGGGATATGGTAGAGAAAAGGTGAAAAGTAAGAAAACCGACCTCATCTACTAATGGTATTGGGTACATAATATTGTAGATTCTGCTTGGGGCCAGTAGGATCAGAAAACACGCATTGGCCGACAATAAAGTCCTCGTCACACTGGATCCCTTTTCGTTCTCTTTCTTTTGTCCAGAAACAGATTGTCTCAGTTTGAAAATAATAATCGTTGAGCAGATTGCGATAACTATGAAAGGTAAAGCGAATCCCAAACAAAAATCTACCCATGGAAAAACATGCACGATCGAACTTACTAAGTCATTAGAATGACAGTACATTTCCTCAAAGAATCTGTCTCCTCCAATATCATACCAGACCATCATTATCGCATTTAATACAAACACAAACAGCACCATAGAAATCATAATGATCTTTGCAGATCTCGCTGTAAAAATGAATTTTGCTTTATGTGGATTCTGGACACTTACTGCGCGTTCCACGGCAACTGTGGCTAGGATACACGAGGAGGTTTGCCCGCTGCATATCCACAATGACGTGAATATTTTACAGTCTATGTTCGTGTCATTGCCAACTGTTAGAATATTGTACAGACCTGACACTAATATAAGTATATCTGATACAGCTAGGGCTGAAAAGAAAACGGCAGTCGAAGACTTTTCATACGTTTTCTTACTCAAGACGCAAACCACGAGGATGTTTCCAAGAACGCCAATTGGTACAATGAATGCAATTTCGAACCACTTCAAAGCCTGCTCAAATAGCGTTTCTTCGTAGTTGAAGTAATAGTCGTAATAAGTGTCGTTCTTAGTCATCATGGAATAATAGTTCAAAAGAGGGTAGTCATCCATTTTCGCTTGTCAATAAATTCTATGCTGAGTAGATTTGTTGCAATAGCTCCACTTGAATGAAATGTCCAATCTCAACTAATTTTCGTAATTTCTTATCATTTCTTTGAAAATATCTTTCAAATTACAATCATGTATTAATGTTCTTTGAGAAATAAGAAATTGTTACAATGGAAACAATAATGAAAGTATTAAATATATGTAATATCTTTTAGATTCCACTTGGACACTTTCGTGCTCCCGTTTGTGAAACGGGGCATTAATTGTTACGATCCTACTATGACTTTTGTTATATATTAAGGAATATAGTTATTTATTGTGTCATAAATTAATAAAGTCAATTAACTAGTATTTTAATGACAAACAATTCTTCTGTACTAAGGCTTCAAAATCTGTCAATTAAAAGTGCAATAAAATTATTTATATGGGTTACTGTAGGAATGTTTTATTTAAATATCAAATAAAATATGCTCTTTTATGATTCATTATTAGAAGAATCAAGATAAATGAGAAGATAAAGAAGGGGAAAAATGATAGTAAATTTTTGAAATAAACTAATTAAAGTTGAAATATAGATAAACTGCATCATTGTATTGCATAATTGTTGCAACGCCACCACATATCTCGTCTTGTATATTTAATTTCATTATTTATTAGAATAGAGAAAATAAGAATCCTCAAAGAAAGACCAAAACGGCAAAATTGAAAATGTTGCAGGCTCGGTTTTAGTGAGCCTGTTCATGGACGGTATTGTCAAGTGCAAACAAACGTGCTATACTTATTGTACCAGGTACATAAATGTATATAAATTCTTTTTATTAAAGTTTATATCTGCTATCTGTAGTTTACAAAATAGTTGTCTAATATTATCTATAAAGGTTGTTGACAGTTTATATGGAACTATAAAAACGGTTGTTTGTAAAAATAACTTGTTTTTTAGAGGACAAAAACACCTGAGATTTCTTTATTAATTGTTAGCACCCATGCAATATATAAACATCGCGATTATCCAATGAAAAACGATGTGACAAACATGCAGTACAATACTATTTTGGAACATCAAATCTGACATCTATGTCAGAAAGCCGATGTTCGGGACTCTACACAATTATCCAATGAAAAACGACGTGACGAACATGTATGACCATACTGTTTTGGAACATTTTATCAATTGATAGATCCTTACTCTGACCTTTCATTTGAATAACAATAAATTTACACATCAACACTGACATGTGCTCTTTTGTTAACAAATATGTTGAAATTCTTATTGTATCCACTTATCTGGTGATAAGAATTGGACAGGTCAGGGATCTATGCATGTCAGATGATGAACGGGGATGTAATTTACATGAAGATGTTGCCATTTTAGTTTTTTAGTAAATCTTCCCTTTTGTTTTTCATTATGTCAGGAGTGTTTTTGTAAGTTTTTTCTGATTTTTTTTTTTTTTGGTGAATTTTGAAATATGTTTATATTTAAGTGGTAGTTACACAGAACAGATAAAACACTATATTAATGTGGTTAATTTATTTAAATAATAATAAGATTTAATTTTTTTGGTTCATTTCATAGTTTATTTTTAAGTATTTGAATGTATTAAAAGCTTACGTTACAGACATATTTATTTGTTTTCCAGTTTTAATTGTTTATATTCGGCAGGGAAATTTAACATGTATTGTTGAAAATTGAATATCGCACAAGCCGGTGCTAGGGGCGTGAGGGATCTTGCACTTTTCATTATCACTCATATAAAGACTCAAACGGGACTGTAATTTTCATGTTATTTTGTTGAGAATAATATTTCCGAGGGATCACCCTTGTTCCAGATTCTTAACAATCATTGCGGGAAAAAATGTTTTACATTCCATAATTATCTGTTTATAATAGATCTGCCTTGCATCATATCTGAACATTATATTGTTCTATTATCCGACATATATGTAGGATACTTGGTCTCATCTTTAATGTTATATATATTTAGTCTATGTTGATTATAATACATTTTGTCTGCTTCAGTATAACGTTTACATTTAGGACATCATTTCAACAATTAAGATTGGCAATGACGTCTTCTATTGTCCAATAATTTGCCATTTTCACTATTTCAAAAAACTAATTAATGCTCAACATATCAATAGTTAAAATAATCAAAAGATACGTTTCACCGTGCGTTCAATCAAAGATGTTTTATTTCCTATTCATCGAACATCGTTCAGCATGACACATTTGTTGTATTGTTGTGGTCCTTTTTTCTAGTTTGGTGGGTCCAGTATTCCTTACCTGATTTTGAGATTTGTCTTTTAACATCTTATCTGCGATACACAGGCTTCACAGCCTCTGACCCCCATTCAAATTTGAAATGATTTATATTTTCCTTTGTTTCGCTCATTGTTTTACTTAGTGTCCATAGTACTCCATACGCCGCTTATCATAAAATAGCACTATTTAAAATGACACATTGAAAGATCCAAGATAGCCGCCATATAAACATATCTGCGGATGAGAATTATCTCAAAGTTTTGCCAGTAAATATAACATATTAAACAAGAGGGCCATGATGGCCCTGAGTCGCTCACCAGAACCAACCACAGTGTTGAAATGTCAATATTTCCTAATATTAAATTTAAGCATAGAATATGTTTAAACAATAATTTGAAGAAATGCCATGACCTGGGGGTATTTAAGCTTTAGCTTAAATGGGGCTAATCAAATTAATATGAGCAAACTTGATAAAAAAAAACTACCTAAGAATGCTACAAAGTTTGGTGATCATCTATCAATTATTAAAGTAGGAAATGATGTTCGAAGATTTTTTCTATTTTTAGCTTTAGTGGCCCCTTTCAGACAAAGTTTGGTGATCATCCATCAGTAAATTCTGAAGAAGAAGATATCTAAAGTTTTTTTTTCTATTTTTAGCAAAAGAGGCCCCTAAAAGGGCCAATCAAAATAATATTAGCAAACTTGATAAAATACTACCCAAGCATGCTACAGACAAAGTTTGGTGATCATCCATCAATTAGTTCTCTAGAAATAGACATTTAAAGGTATTTTTATTTTTAGCTTAAGCGGTCCCTAATAGGGGCCAATCAAATTAATATGAGCAAATTTGATAAAACACTACCCAAGCATGCTACAGACAAAGTTTGGTGATCATCCATCAAGTAGTTCTCTAGAAATAGACATTTAACAGTATTTCTATTTTTAGCATTAGCGGCCCCTAAAAGGGGCCAATCAAATTAATATGAGTAAACTTGATAAAACACTACCCAAGAATGCTACAGACAAAGTTTGGTGAACATCCATCAATTAGTTCTGTAGAAATAGACATTTAAAGGTATTTCTATTTCAAGCTTAAAGGGCCCCTAATAGGGGCCAATCAAATTCATATGAGCAAACTTGATAAAAGACTACCAAAGAATGCTACATACAAAGTTTGGTGATCATCCATCCATTAGTTCTATAGAAGAAGATGTTTAAAGGTTTTTCTATTTTTAGCCCTAGTGACCCCTAAAAGGGGCCAATCAAAATAATATTAGCAAACTTGATAAAATACTACACAAGCATGCTACAGACAAAGTCTGGTGATCATCTATCAATTTGTTCTCTAGAAATAGACATTTAACGGTATTTCTATTTTTAGCTTAAGCGGTCCCTAATAGGGGCAAATCAAATTCATATGAGCAAACTTGATAAAAGACTACCAAAGAATGCTACATACAAAGTTTGGTGATCATCCAGCCATTACTTCTGTAGAAGAAGATGTTTAAAGGTTTTTCTATTTTTAGCCCTTGTGACCCCTAAAAGGGGCCAATCAAATGAATATGAGCAAACTTGATAAAAGACTACCCAAGAATGCTACAGACAAAGTTTGGTGATCATTCATCAATTAGTTCTGTAGAAATAGACATTTAAAGGTATTTCTATTTTTAGCTTAAGCGGCCCCTAAAAGGGGCCAATCAGATTAATATGAGCAAATTTGATAAAACACAATTTGAGAATGCTACAGACAAAGTTTGGTGATCATCCATCCATTAGTTCTGTAGAAGAAGATGTTTAAAGGTTTTTCTATTTTTAGCCCTAATGACCCCTAAAAGGGGCTGATCAAAATAATATGAGCAAATTTGATAAAAGACTACCTAAGAATGCTACAGACAAAGTTTGGTGATCATCAATCAATTAGTTCTGTAGAAGAAGATGTTTAAAGGTTTTTCTATTTTTAGCTCTGCTGACCCCTAAAAGGGGCCAATTGGAATGACATGAGCAAATCCAAGTGTGACTGTCACAAGGATGCTACAGACCAAATTTGAAGTAAATCTGCCTTGTAGTTTCAGAGAAGAAGACGATTGTTGACGCATGACGACGGACAACGGACGACGGACGATTGACGCCGGAGCATCCCCCTTTGATACTAATAGCTCACCCTGAGCCTTCGGCTCTGGTGAGCTAAAAACCGCTTTAGCTGGTGCTAGGGGACAAGGACAGAACGTTGCTTTTCCGCAACCGTCCATGAAAAACCTCAATACAACCGAGTCTAAAATATTTACAGTTTTGCCGGTTTGTGCGTTCTTTAGGGGTTCTGGTTTTCTTTTCTATTCTGTTGTTATGTTTTCACAATGTCTGTAACATTGTTGAACACTTAACGGAGAACAATGACTTAAATAAATGTCTTCTGTAAAACTAGGAATCGATGGTTTGAGTCCTTTTAGGAAACAGGTCCATGCTTCGTTTTATCACACAAGCAAAGCCTGATGAAATCCAGATATCAATCTCTCTTCACTACTAAAATTAATAGATGATATTGAATTAATGTAGATTTAATACTAAATTTTTTGAATAAAATAATATTTTGCGAGCTTCTGGTGAGCATACTATTGTAAAATAAATTTAGCATTAAATCTACACGAATATAATATTCTATTTATCAAATATCCAAACTAAGAACGATTTATAGTTAAAAAATAGTCATTTTTCATTGACGGACCTATAAGTTAACACTTACATACCGTAAGAGCGATTCAATAGTCGTGTGCATTGGCTTCCGTGATAAATATGTTTAAACTATGTGATCGACTTAAAATTCTTTGCTTAAAACCCCGCAGTTGATTGAATCGGTACATAGAATGGGGAATGTAAAAAGCAAGCAATATCTTGAATCATTTGAAAATAAATAATTAATACTTTTATATTAAATATTCATATATTAATATTTTGTCACATTTCCTAGCAAATTCATAGAAAATTTAAAGATTAAATCATATCTCAAATCAAATAGTAATCTTCTTATGGATATACATACATAGGCACATATCTTAATGATAGAATAATATGTTATTAAATATGTTACATTCTTGTCTGATAAATAATCAATTTATTGCAAAATTGACTAATAAATAACAATGATTTGACAGATATTAAAATAACGTAATTGATTACGTAATATGATATAAGATATACTATGCTCATCTTGGATTTACATATATTTTTTATCGCAGAAAATAATTGAAATCTATGAAATTCTTTCTAAATATGTCTAAATTGAATATAATCTAAACAATGTACAAACTGTGCACGGGAAGCTGCATTCCCTATTACAGGTCGAATAAAGTTGGTCTTTTCTTAAAAAGAAACTGCCAATTCTTTTAATGACACTATATATTCATACTGTTTCCAAGAATATTTTTTGAAAAAAACCTTAACTCGTCATCAAGCTTTTCACAAACTATAAGCTAGAAAAGGTTTTCTGTATTTTGAATATCTAAACGTTTGAACATCAAAGTAAAAAATCATGACAAGGTTTGCACGAGATATTTTTTTACACGATTATTCCATTCAAGAAGAAGACTATTGTCATGCATATGTTGGTACCGAAGCACCAAAATTACCAACTCCTTTGTGCAAGCTGAGCTTCATGAAAACACAATAAATTTAAAATAGCAGACCCCGGACTTCTTAATTCTAAACAAAAGTGTATAACTATATATAAATCAGCATTAGTTTTGAAAACTTACAAAATGTTGTGAAATTACACACTTCAAAAACATTCTAAATGGGTACGTAAGGCAAGTCTACCAAACAAACTCTTATCTATAATAAATCTATTCAAGAATACTCATTTGGGGTATTAGACAAATAAAAAAATATCTAAAATGTTTTTTTTGTTTTGTTTTTTTTTTGTCGGTTACGTGCATTCCTGGTGGCATTCTTTGAGCATAGAACAATCAATCATGATGACGCTTTGAACAGCTTTAAACGGTTTTCTGTTTCTTTGGGCTCTTTGGCGTACTTTTAGCCCATTCTTCAAACATTTCTGTAACAGCTTTGAAATACCTATCTTCCTTGCAGTACACACGGACGGACTGCTCATTGAAAACTTCTGGTAGCAGAAGAGAAACCTAAAATGACAGAGACACGATATCTTGAATAAGCTTAATGGTTTTGCTAGAGAATTGCCTCTTTTATTGTAGTAGCTATTGTTTTGTTTAAGCTATTTAACATAAGAACGTTTGGATCCTGCTTACTCGTTCCTCTGGCCCATTCTGCTTTCAAAAATGCTTTTGCTAATTTTTGAGAATAACTGATATTAAAAGGTAAAGAAATTTAAAAAAAAATGATACTGATAAAATAATAACTTGATTTTACATCTCTCAAAGACAAACATCTTTTTGCTTTATGAATTGATAAGTAAAAAACAAAACAATATTTACGTCTTTCTTGTCCTTTGAGTCTGCATTGTTTGGATCATTTTTCGAATAAAATTTAACGTTGGTTATTGGGTCCCTATCTTTGCTACCAAAGTTTAATTCGACAATCTGAAAGATATTGCTTATTATATATCATATCTCAAAAGTTGGAAAAAATCGCCTATTATGTTCTTGGCTCATGTAATCACCAGATATTATGATGTCACAAACTAAACTGGACATTATGACGTCATCACATACGATATTTAATGTCAAAATAGCACAGCTACAGAAAATCTCAGAGCGGCACTTCACGCATTACAAAATTCTTTTATTATACAACAAAGTTAATGTTATAACTTCTCGTATGTGCCTGTCTTCAACCAAATTGTCATATAGTTATAAGGACTTCCTGAGAATGTAATCTACTAAAGAATTCCTAAAGTGACTTAGACAAAGCCTTAAAGCGAGCTAGAGCTATGGCAAAATCTACTAAACCGTAACGTTTTATTTATTTTTATTACATCTTACAATCCCTTAGAGAATAAATGAATTCATTAAGAATCCTATTTTGAGAAAAGAATCGCCTTTCATGAAATGTCACAGTCAGTGATAGTTACTCCTCTATTTCGGGCTGTTACTTAGTAAAAATGTTATTTATTTATTAGTATTTGATTGTTTTACCCTATATTTACATTAGGAAATGTTAGGACTTCCCAATGACAGAACCTCACTAAGAGTTACATCTCAGGAAAATGTTCTATTTTCATACAATTGAGGATATAACTGGCAGAAGAAGTATATTTCTTACCTCCTTATGAATATATTTTATCAAACAAAACTAAAAGATATATACATCCGGCCAAGCTGTTCAAAATGATCATACTTAATGCTACCTCTGAGATCAATATCCAGGCATGTTTTATATAATTGAAAGTTGGTAACAGAACAAAAAAGCCCCCTATCTAATGGTTTACATACGCATAAAGTATTGTCCTTTTAAAAGTTTTAAACGTATTGCAGCATGCAGCGTTAGAATGTTATAATGTAATGGTCGGTAAAATAAAAGCAAGGACATTGAGCGTGCTGCCAAGGAATATTCTCTTTTCAATGACATTATTCAATTTGATTGTCAGCAATTGAAATGAAAATAAAAAAAATCTCTCCTTTTTGCAGCCATTCGTTTTTAATTATAATGGTGTTTTTGAAGTTTTTTTTGAATGAGGGAAATTATTATACTAACATCTATAACAACGGGATCATCATGTATATCATCTATTCTAGACATGAATGTTTGAAACTTCTTATTGCCAGCCAATGTTTCCTTAATGTCGCGCTTGACATCGTCTTCCTTTTTAATGTTCTTTCCAACAGCTCTTTTCCTTTTCACATCCTGAAGAAAAACACAATTTGTATAGCATACATTTAGAATGGAAATAATTTGAAAATTTTGACTATGTCCGTGTTTTGTTATGGAGACATTAACAACATAATCTGGACAGTGTAAAGATTTTTAAAATATATGTGCAGAATATAATTACCTTGAAAATGGTTACTTAAATAAATAGCAATCAAACTAGATCAGAATACAATTGTCAACCATCATCACCGCTGTGCAAACAAGAATAATATTTCCTTAATTGAATAGTACACTTAAATCAAAACAAAGTTGATGCTTTCTAAAAGGCCCGCACGTTTTTATTTTATATACATCTATTCAACATTATTATACATATTACATGCGGAAATGTTAAACATACTAAATGTAGTGCCGTAGCAAGGCGCTTATAAACATCGAGACTTACTTCTGGATAAGTTTTTTATTTCTAGAACCTTCGTTTAAGGGTCATTTTAGGACGATTTTACTATACAAAATCTTTAATTTTATACAATATAAGCAAAAACAACTTGTACCATCTAAACCAAAATTTAAATATAATAATATTTCAAAACACAAACGTTTCGATTAAAAAAAATTAAAATTTTGAACTTATAGAATTTGTGCAATTTACTATGCAGCCACGTAGACAAAAATGTGTTACATCTGTGTCACGTTTTTGACAACCAAGAAGTGCACAAGAAGAACATGGTGGCCTTGGATTGATCATTTTAGTTTCATTTTGTCATTACTCAAGGTGCAACATTAAAACACAAGGAAATAAAAATGTAAATCCTAGGGAAAGATGATCACAAAGTGGATTTACGGTCCAAATATCTATGGTCTGTGCATTTGGAGAAAAATATTTGTTAAACATATGTTTACTATTATAACTTTCGTATTAGTGTTACAGAGTATTTCAGGAATGACAGTTATTACTTAGCTTTTTTATGTTCGCGTTATCATCAGTTGTTAGTCAATCACCCACTCTCCTAAAGAGCCAGATATTCTAAAAAATAATCCATAAAACATGTAAAAAATTTATTAAATATTTTTATTATTCTAGTAACTAAGTTAGAAGTATTTACGCGTACCTTTTCTCCAAAAGTCCCTCCGGGAAACCTTTTCTCGCCGACAAATCTGTACAAATCTCGTCTAAAAATCCTATTAAGTATTTCTTTTGATTTCTCTAGTCCTTTCTTATTACTGCCTAAGATTATATGAATGACGCCATCGTTAAGAAGTGTGTAAGCTTTCATATCATTAACTATATCGGACATGCGAACATTCTTTCTGAAAATCAATTGAAATGAATTATGAAATGAGATTAAAACACGCACTTTTAAGAGAATAGAGCACGAACATAAGAAACAATAATGATATAAAGTTTTGGCATGGCGAAGAAATATGTTTTATAAATTACTACTACAGGTTGACGGACACACGTAACTCTTGGACAAATGGTTCGTTTGTCGAGGTGGCAACGATGCAGATTGGTCATAGTCCATTCGATGAGTCCGTGTACTTTGTTCTAAACTTTTCATTGATTGAATCAGCTCGGAAAAGGTTATAGAAAATGAGAAGCTTCCAAAGAAATTGAACCACTCCAAGATAATTCTAGTAATGCTCATATACATTTAGTATAGGACTACCACCCAGTACTTAAAATATTTTCAATTCAAAGAATTCGGGTTTTTTATATTTTCTTTCTACCTTGAAGTAAGACGTTCAACACCCTTAACTACTCATGACCAAGAATAGTTTATTAAAGAGAAACAACACTAATGGTTAATAGGGAACATTTGCTGTAAATACCATCTCCTGATCGAAAGTGAAATCTGCTGCCTCCATTCTTATCTTGTTATAAATATTTAGTTCCGATTTGAAAAAAACTATTTCTTTAAGGTGAAATAGGTCCTCCAACAGTCAAACGAAAATGATGTTTCAACAAAGATAAAAAAGTGTACATCGAACTGCTTGTTCCTTTTTCTTCTAGTTTTCCTAAATGACACAGAACTATATCGCCAATATAACGAATTTTGTCGGACTGAGGCATACGCCAAGGGAAAGGGGATTTTATGGCAAAATTTGCTTAATATTTTACGGAACCATTACATCTATAACTTTCAAGAAAATTTGAATTGTTAAAAAATCGGCTTCAGTATAGTAATTTCATACCCTACTTACGCCAATTAACCAGTCAAAATTAATGATATCATAAGGTTGAGTCATAGTAAACATTCTGAAAGAATTTAAAATAGTCACACACTATTCAAATGATCGCATCGTGAAACGATAAATTGCACTACTTTAAAGTATGCATTTTATTAAAATTTTAATTGATTCAAAGTTATAAATCTTCTTGCCAAGAACGCTAGAGAAAGAAAGAAAATAATATTAATAATAATAAAAAAACAGTTTTACCCGTCTTTGCCCTTGAACGTTATGTACTTGTCAGCCAGTACCAAAGCCTCGGATAACCTACAAAAACGATGAAAATAATATAAAAGCTTTTGTTTCTGACCTTTTCAAGCCAGTTCAACTCCCGTGTTCTTTGCTTTCTGTACGAAATTGTAGACTGATCGGACTAACCGGAAGCGAAAGCTCACTTCCGGTTCTTTGTAACCGGAAGCAAAGGCTCACTTCCGGTTCTTAGTGTAACAGGTTAATGGTTAATATTGATAAATTATTTCTTTCAAATCTTTCAGTAATTAACTAAATAATAACTCTTTAAACAGTTATGTCTCAATATTTTTACTTTGCGATGCAAGTCCAGTATTGACATTGTCAGTTTAACTTCTATGTTAGAATGCCAATGTTAAAATATATATCTTTTTGTATAGTATATTATCAATAAAAATGTGGTAACGTTTCGTTAATACATACATGATTTCAATGCTGTTGCTTGTCTTGTGTTGGTACGCTCGTTGGTGGAGTAAATTTCTGATATGAAACATATCATACAGATTTGTAGCTTCCTTAAAATATAAAATATAACCATTTATAGTTGTTCTAAACACTCATTTTAGTATATAAGAAATAACTGACTTCATTTAACCTAATATTTTCTTTTTCATATCATTTAAAGAAATTATTCGGGGGGGGGGGGGGGGGTTCAGATATTCCGCCTGGAGTTATGCTGTCATGCAGGATTAATGGATTTTTCGATTTTTTTTTCAAACATAATTATCAACTCCAATGGGATTCATAAAATATTTTAAAACGTTTAGAATCAATAATTCATGTAAAATAATAATAGGCTTTGGCGACATTATATCTGATTTCAAAAACTTATTCAATGAAATATATAATGAATAAATAACCCAATTTAAACTAAAACTGAACAAAAACCGATGTTTCTTCCCTTTATTCTAACTAAATGTGTATGTGATTTGAATAAATGGCAAATATAGTTGGTCCCTCTTCCGTGCTTATTTTTTGGCTATAACCGGTAATAAAGATAAGCGAGATGGGACGCTTACAGGCATGAAATTATTTACCGTCCCCGGTGGAAACGGGATCTGAATATAATCTAAAAAACGTTACACTTAATTAAATGATGGCATTTTTTATAATGCCATTCCTTTAATTTTTGAAAAGAGACACCAATGTTATCATTCAATTATCAATGATTTATTAAAATGTTTTACTGAAAGGGGGGGGGGAGCAAAAGATAATTGCAATAATTCTTACTTTGTCTCTATAGCAAATCTGTTGTTCTTTCTTCCCTTCTGCTCCTTTAGCCTTTATAACCCTCGAGAATGATATTAAACGATTGTGGTTAAAATTGTTCCCAATACCCAACATATGAGAGTCACGTGCGAAGTAATCCCATTTATCGACATCAATTCCATTTCGTTTATTTGAAACTATCTGCAATTGTTTATTTTTGTATATACTGTTTTTTGTCAAATCAATGAACTGTATTTCTGCAGAATAATGATTATAAATCAGGTGGCATCTGTAAGGACACTTTTGCTATGAACATTATTCCGTAATTTTAGAGTAAACTCAGTATTTTAAAAATTTTAACAAAAAGGGTGATACAAATTTCTAATAAATAAATAAATAAATAAATGAATTAATAAATAAATAAATAAATAAATCTTTCCGAATTTGCCAAATTTGGTCTTAGATAAAATATTAAGCAAACAAAATGACAATTTTTTTTTAATATCTCACTGTTTATTACAAGACATGGTTTGAATTTGTGGAAAAATAGTTTACCTCGTAGAGAAACCATTTATTTTCTCTTCTTCCTTTGCGTTCTTCTTTTGGTGTTCCAACAATCATTTCTTTGATGAATGTTATATCCTTAGCATAGATTTTTTCTTTTTTGAACATGCTTTTTAATTTTTTATCTTCTAACATGTAATCGAGCATATCAGCGGACCCTTGTTCATGCTTCAAATAAAAATATCATGTCATAATTCTAAATTCTTCGTGTTGCTATAATTATTTATGAAATAACTGTAAACTGATTAGATTTTGGCGGCTGTTTAACTTTAGCAAAATTGAAAGTGTGTATCAAAAGCACCAATGTGAAACACTGACATTTATAAAGGGTTTTAAAACAAGAGAGATTACCAATTGATGTGTTCAAAAATCAATCTAAACGATAATGTTATTGACAAGACATGAAAATAGTTTTAATTTTAGGCATTTGATTTCTGTTTGTGACTTTGAGCTTTGTGCTTAGGGACCTGAATATTATGTCGTCACAACGCTTTATGCTAGTTAACATTCATTTCTGGCCAGTAATTTCAAAATTCTTATCGATATAGTAACGTTAAGGTCTAGAAGCAAGGTCCAGACGCCATGCTGCTCAGCTTCTGCATTCTGTATTAACTCTTTTTTTTTTGGTTAGATCTTAACATACTTGCTCCTTGAACTCAAAATTTAATCTTTGAATCGTAAACATGTTTGCCAAATTATTTCAGGATATTTCAAAGTGTGGCTTGAAATTAACTTCAAATGAAGGCACCTGTCTCTATATGACTTTTAACTTCATAATAAGATAATTAGGCGTACGACACATTTTGTATTTGAGAATACTTGTGGAACTGACTCAACTGACTTTTCAGATCTGATTTCTCCTTTATTCCAGAACAGAATAGCACATTGTGTTTTACCTAATACCTAGCCGGAACAATGCAATTTGCATACCCGAATTTCCATTTTCATGGGGCATTACATTTTGATATAAGTCTAATAACTGTTTTTGTTAAAAGTATAAAATTAACCTAAATAATGTAGAACTATGTTTGTTAGAGATAATACATGAACAGGTAACATGATATGTGCAATTTATAACTTATACGACACTTGGTTATAAAAATAATAAAAATTAAAATAATATTAAAGTCATATGCATTTTTTCGCAATATAAACTCATTTTTCAAACAATTTTGAAGCGAATATTCTATAAGAATTCTTTATCATCTGCTCATCTGCTTGTTTGAATCCGTTGCCATGTAAATACATATTTGTTACAGTGAAAATAAAATTGTAAGTTAATAAAGTCTATGATAAGTTTGTGAATGTATACTTACCGTCCATTCTTTTTTATCTCTCTTTTTCTCCCACAATTTGGGAATAATTTTCATATCAAAGAGATGAGAAAACGGACCATGTCCTGTACAAAATCAAAGTGAAACGACACAGTTGAAAATAAGTAGCATAGAAATCAGCTTTTTATTTCCAAAACACTCATTTAAGCAAACTTATTGCTGAAAATTTAAGAGTTGAATGTTTTCAATATATCTTTATTTTGTATTTTGTCATGATAACATATTATACTCCACCTCAGCTTTCATAAATTACTATCGTATAATGATGCTTCAAAATGTTATAAAGTTACAAACATATCTTACCAAGGTCATGACACAATGCAGCAATTTCAACACAAAGTTCATCTTTATTTGTTATCTTTACACCGAGAACTTTTGAGTTTTCGTCTTGAAGAGCTCGAACAAAGCGTCCGGCTAAGTGGCAAACGCTGTTTACGAAATAAAAAATACAAAAGTCGTATTTTAGTAGTTAGATTAAACATAATGATCTTATTCTGAAAGGTGCTGACTTAAAAATATCACCATGCTGTTTTTGATGGTATCGATAATGTTGTTGTTGTTTTTTTTTTGTCTGTTATTTTGTAAGTTGAATAGGAACTTAACATTTTAATGGGGCAAAATGGGGGTGGGGAATAAGGAAACATTTAATATATAATTTTGTTTTCATGTGAATCGCAACAACAAAATGTTGCCTTTTTCCATTAATAGTCTGTAAATTAGTTAATTGATGAAAGACAGTCATCATTTGCTTAAAGGATGATACTGATTACAATCAAAATCCTACTACACTACGACGTAAGATCCGAACTTTTTTCCCAAACACCTGCCCGTGCTGTTGAATGCCTTATTTCATCTTCGTTTTCCTTTTATTTAAACGTGCACGAATTTCATCGCGTAATAACATATATAAAATTGCTTTGTTGAATGTAAAACCAGCAAATTTAGAACACAATGTTTTACCAAATTGAATACGTTAATGACTTTCTTCTCATATTACTATTTCCATTGAAATTTCATTAGCTACATTTTGCAAAAGCATTATAAATTCATGGCGTAATTTAATCATCATGTGACTGGAACAAACTTAAACCAAAATGTTGTATCAATATTGAGAAGTTTCCGAATGTGTTATTTAACTTTAAACATCGATACTTGTGGCTAAAAAAACAAAATAATGCTACATACCCGATGGAGTGCTCGAACCTGTTATGTGATGCCCCGGGGTACACGAAATAAACGCCACCAAGTTGCTTAATGAACCTAAGACGTTGAAATTGCGGTGTATCAACGATCTTCACCAGCAAGGGATGTAACTCTATATTACCGTGGATAGGATCGTTTAGAACCTGTTAAATAAAGATGCATATGTTGTATATTTAGCTATCACTTGGTAAACCAAATTATCTTACTTTTAAACCAATTCTAAAACAGATTCAATAACATTTAAAACATTTCAGATATTTCAGGTAATATTTAATAGGTCGTATGCTAAATAATGTAATAGCAACGATAATAAAAATATAATAAATGATCTGTCAATGCTTGCACCGCGTGATGTTCCAATGGAAATAATAACCATCACTCAAATGCATGTTGTACCTGATACAACCTCATTTTCATTTTCAGCGTCCAAATCATCTGTACCGAATACATATTCTACACCAGCAAGTCGTTTAAAACTCCATATCAAATCCTTATTATAACTGAAGGTATGTCTAAATGTAAACAAAACGGTGATGCGAAATAAAGACGTATTAATACATTGTTGAGAACAATATTGATTCTTATGGACTCGTTCAAAGCTGCAATATCTATATTAGTCGCGGCGCTAGCGCCTCTTCCAATTCAGTTTCAACAGCTGTGCACTCGTCCAATAGAAATGACTTTTGTACACAATAATGTATAGTAACCTCATTAATGCATGGCACTTTACTAAGTTCTTGTCAATGCGTTTACCAATCACGCATGTAATTTTGCCGGTAATAATTTCAAATTAATTTTTCATATCATTTATTTCTAGTTGTGTAACAAAAAAAAATAAAAACATTGATAAAATATCTTACCTTCGCTGCCATTTTCTTGATGTTACGTTTCTTAAACAAAGACAAAAAACCCATGACAGTCTCCTCCTTTTTAGCAACATGTTAATTAAACTTAACATTAAAAACAATCGAAACAATATTATTTTTAGAAACTACCGAATAGATGATGGGCAGTAATGTAAAGGTAAAATACTGGGAAGACAATATATGAACAAATGCAATAAATAAATAAATAAATAAATAAATAAATAAATAAATAAATTGATTGATTAAAAGTAGAGACAAAATATAAATAAATAAAGAACATACAGAACAGAACAGATATTTTATTTGACTTAAGCATTACAAGCCCATCGTCGTTAACAATGAAAAAAAAGAACATATATATATTGGTATGACATGGAAGATTTTACATATAATACATGAATTATTATTTCCTTAACACATATATCGTGAGAATGTAACAAAGGAAGAAATATATTTATATATACTCAAAATTTACATGGAATAAAAAAATAAAAAAATAACAAAAAAGGAATGATTTAAGATTGAGAACGACATTTATATTATAATTACAATAGTGAATCCCTTAATTTGAAAGCTTTAAAACAATATGTGAAGAGAGACGTAATTTAGCCAGTGCGTTTCTAAATTTTGTATTTTCCAATAGTCTGATATAATTTGCCTGCTCAAATGTAACTTTAATCTCCCGGAAAATATTTAAGGAACTTGACATCTGCAACCCCGTTCTCCAATTACTTATGTATATATCTCTAAGCCTACAACGTAAGACCGGAACAAATACATTTATTTTAACGGATTCTGGATATAACCAGACTTCACGTAGACCAGAAGACTGAAGGATATCGCGTATATATAAGACCCAATTTTTTATTGATTCGTTTAGCTCTAGACTTTTGATTTGATCTTGTAAAACCGCCTTAAGTATGCAATTTTCAGACTTGACGGTATTAATCATCAGAAAAAATTTAACCATTTTAACATGTCTTTCTATATTGAGTGGAAATCTACCTAACTCACTATAGAGTGCTAGAGTACGTGTAGATTGCTTAACATTTAGTATCCATTTACAAAATTTCTTATGTACTCTTTCTATTACCTCTGAATTTATACAACCCCATACCTCTGCACCATAACTTAAAACAGAAAGTACATACAAATCAAAAAGATTAAACAATATATTTATTGGAACTTTCATACTACGAACAATAGCCCACAAAGAATCTAGATATCGCAACCCTTTCCCGGCTAATGTGTTTGCTGTTTGCATAAAAGACCCTCCACTGGAGAATACAACGCCTAGGTAATTAAAAGACTTGACTTTTTCAATTTCGTGATTATTATAATACCATTTGTCTTTTCTTCTTAACTTCCCCCCTTTCCTAAACACTACAACTATAGTTTTTTCTATGTTAACTGTAAGGTTCTATTTACAACAATAAGAATATAAACTATCTAGTGATTTCTGTTACCCAGTACTTGTTTCAGAGACGATTACGCGTCATCAGCGAATAGGAGCAAATATATCGCAATTTGATCAATATTTATTCCAGGGTCAAAATTTTCCTGTAATTGCATTTCTATATCATTTAAAAATAAAGAGAAGCAAATCGGCGAAATTATTTCTCCTTGGAACAAACATAAATTACTATTGAAAAAGTCAGATAGGCTCCCTAAATGTTTTACACAAAGTTTCACTTCGCTGTACATTGATCTTAATACCGACAGAAATTTACCATATTTACCACATATCCTAGTTCTATAAATTTATACCATAGCCTACTTCTCTCGATAGAGTCATAAGCTTTTTTATAATCTACAAAACAACAGTACAGTTTATTTTTGTTCAGAAGTTGCTTTTGAATTAATGCGTTTCAAATAAAAATAGGATCTACAGTACTATAGTTGTTCCTAAAGCCAAATTGGGCATCAGTTAAATCGTTGTTCACTTCTTCCCATGTTTTTAAGCTTTCATTTAGTAAAACAGTAAATAGTTTTGCAAATCAACTGGTTATAGCGATGCCCCTATAGTTATTTGAATCAGACTGGTACCCTTTTTTATATATAGGTATAATTACTCCAGTGGACCAAGCACGAGGGAACTTGCCAGAATTTAAAATTTAATTAAAAAATAAATTCAAAGGATTAACTAAAATTGTGGCAGCTACCTTGAAATACTCATATAAAATATTATCAATTGAAGGTGATTTATTTTACCTTAACTTGTTTATTGCTTTACAAATTTCGTCATCAGATATTGGCAAGTCCAACAACTCATTATTACCTTGTCGATTTAAATCGGTATCAAACTCCCTCAAATTCCGTACAAATCCTTCATCATCACACTGAACATCACCGCCCATAAGAATTTTAAAGTAGTCATTAAATTCTTGATTAGATATATTTTCTCCAGATTTACTTGTTTTATTATGTTTAAACATTTTCCAGATTTCCCTGGGAGATTTTCTTCGTAATTGGTTCATTTTTCGGCCTAGTGCATAATTAAAAGAATTTTTAGATTTTCGGCATTGGTATTTATAATCCTTTTTTGCGTTATACATTGAAACCCTATCTGCATCCGAAAACGTTAGGTTAAATTGCGTAACTGCTTTTTTATATGTGTCATATTTAGTCTTTTTACGTACTTGATTACAGATATTTGACGTTTCGTGAGATGATCTTTTAAAATACTTGTCGCCGTGCGTACACAAAAAGTCCGTAAACATAGAAGTAAGCGTATCAACATCTCCGTCACCGCTTATTTCTGTATTTAAAATATTTAAATAAAGACTGTATGCTATTAGTTAAATCGAGTGTAAACAATTCCCTGTATCTATTATCAAACTTATAGAATGACTTTTCCTTATAACTACAGCTGTCATAACTGAATTTTGAGTTTATTTTAAAAAAGAAAGATATGGGTGCATGGTTAGAATAAGTAGTGAAGTCATTTACCGCGAAATTGGCAATGAGTAATGAAGTTATTTTGACTTGTCAATATATAATCAACTACTCTAGCCCCATTGTAGGTCACACAGGTAAAATTCCCACGATATATATATATATATATATATATATATATATATATATATATATATATATATATATATATATATATATATATATATATATATATATATATATATATATATATATATATATATATATATATATCATATAAACATATATGATAATGATTCAACAAACTGACCGAGATGAACAAAACTAGATTTATTTTAGGGACAAAATCACATTTAAAAGTATTCATAAAGAATTAAATAGACAAATTATAAATAAAGATAATCAAAAATTTGACATTTTTATATCAATGTTTCAAACGCCATTAATAGTGTCAAATATATTTTTCTATCTTAAAAAATTCCTACGTTTTTAAAATATATCAATGAATAGAATATTTTACAGTTACGGAAAATATCAATACTTCTTTGTAAGTTTTTTTAGATACACATGAATAATGTACGTAAACAAAATAAATGTTCTGGAACAAAATATTATTTGGCTATTTAAAGTAGGGTTTTATCCATTAAGCATGATTTTTTTTGCGAGCGCCATTCGCTTTTAAGGCAATAAATTACCATATTTATTTCACACAAGCATTTTGAAATATAAATATATATATATTTTAAATTCAAACAATATGTTTTGCATACGATCTATTGCTTTATACACTTTATAATATACCTGACGTCAATTTCATTACATGGCCTCTACTACTTTTTATGAAAATAATTTGATTTAAAAAGTAACAATGGTGTTGCTTTTAGAATAATATTATGATGCATACAAAGCAGTAGAAAGTAAAAATGCATAATTCTAATGAAATTTCATACATATTTAAAATGAAGTGAAATATTAATAATTTTCCGGTAACTTTGAACTATAAACATAAGGCAATATTTTAGCTTACCCTCTTTGTCATTTTTCCTATCTTGTTGTTATAACGTTCCTGAAACAGACAAAAGGAACATAGTCACATTATCTCCTCCCTTTGAGCAACTTGCTTATTTAACTCTGAATTAAAGGAATCGATATTATTCTAAAAAAAACTACCGAAAAGGTGATGATGGACAATAAAGAGATGGTAAAATACTGAGCAAATAAATGATAAAAATATGTAAAATAATAATAATAATAAGTCATTCAACAAATTGATGAAAAAATAAAGAAGTTAATGGAAAAATAAAATCATGTTTCATGTAGTCATGAAATTTTAAACAAAAAATTACCTGCAACAAAATCAGAATGTCAAAAGTGTGTTATTTACCAGCGATAAACTTGGGATACTCTAACAATTTACAACTACCTCGATTACATTAAAATGTGACGTCAATTTGCTTTAATTTAACTGATGTAATAAAATACACTTAAACCGTGTCATGTGGGATAGGTTTTCACAAATATTCAAATCGTTTATGCATTAAGGCGTAATATTTCAATTTATTTACTTGTATAACTTCCATTTTCTTAATGATCGTACATGTTGATATATATCAACAACGAAAGGTAAAGATGTAAATATTTTTTTTCATTCTAAAATTTATATTTTGATATATATTTAAACTTATGTGCGCTTTATGTTACGATGATGTTACCGCTTTAGTGAACATTATGTCGATTTCATAAACAGAACTGAACAGAACATACATTTTATTTGAGACTTGTACATGATACATCGTCATGCAAATATATATACACAATATATCATGTCACATGGTTATGTTTACACATGGTAGATATATTGGTTGCACAATAATACAAACTAAGTAAAACTAAGCAGGAATTGTATTTGAGATTTGTGCAAAAGTATATCATACAATAAACACATGTTTGTGTTGCCGGCCTACTTAATTGTTAATGAAAACAAAACAAAAATTTATACGGCTATTAATAATCACTAAACATATACAGCTATTTTAATTGCTAAATTCATACAGTTATTTTTCATTACTAAATTTATACGGCTATTAATGATAACTAAATTAATACGGCTGTTTTAATTACTGAATTTATACGGCTATTTTTAATTACAAATTTTGTACATCTGACTAAAGATAAGCGCATTCGTACAATTTGTAGTGACCGTTTAAAAGTATTATAATACAAACATTGGAGCGTGTTGCTTTAAATCACTTCGAAATGTTAATATCATCAATTACATAAATCCGAGTAATGGTGATATATTGATAAAGCTAACCTTGATTGAACTTATACCTTGGTAAGTTTAGATAAAAAGAAATAAAGAAACAGATAATAAAAAAAGAAACCCCTACAATTTTGTGTTTGTATATCTTATGCAAAATAGTCACAGCTCAAATAAATTAATCTTACCTTTAAATCCATTCTATTTCATTTTATTTATCAAATCCATCGAGTTATGTGATCATGTTTTAAAGGTAGTATTGAACGCGGGCTTCAGATGAACAAAATAAACCTTATGACATAAATTAAAACTTAGTAATCAAATTTTATTTATATTTCAAGAAATGTGCAAACATTCGCACTCCCGATGAACTTTGAATACAAACTGTCACAAAGTACCAAGTTTCAAACGGCATAAGAGAAAATTCTGCATATTAAATAGAAATACAGAGAGCAACGAATACAAATTACAAAAAAAAAAAAAAAAAAAAAAAAAAAAAATCCTACAAATTTTGTTAATGGCCTGTTAAGGATTAAATGCAGATCCCCTTTTGTCCTCTGCTATGGGCTTATCTTGTAGTAAGTTTTCAAGACTCACGGATCGCGAAGGACCAGAAAAGGATAACAATTCATTTGAACAGACTAAAAATTGTGTTATGTTTGAAATAATAAACATTCAGCTGTCTTTCGGTTCAAAAACAATCTCAGCATATAAGCTAGTTTAAACAGAATACTTAAAAAGGGAAAACGCTATAAAACTGTGTCTTTTTACCACAAAAAGGGGATTAACTTCAATTATTAACTATTAGGCTAAAAAGAGATATAATATTTAAACAAAAACGTGGGTGATTATTTTGATGATGTCATCATCATCAATTTAACATTAAAATATAGACATCAAATTATCTACTTATCGCAAACTTCTTTCTGTGATTTAAAAGTTACACTGAAGTGTAAACAAGAGATCTGATGATGTCCTCAAGTTATAAAATATTACGTATAAATGTGATATGTGTATACATTGTCTTAAAGGGGGACAACCTCAGATGCATAAGATAAATTTTCAATGTCAAACAGGTGACAATTGCATTTATATAGAGGATATATTTGTTTAGTTTAGTTATAAGATGCAATTTTATTTCATCGAGAGAGCTTTAAAAATGGTATTCTCAAAACTGTTTTTTTTTAAAGTTCACAAGATAATTTTCACTGAGAAATTCAGTACATCAAATGTAATTTCACGGATAAATAAGTAATCCACTCAAAAGAATAAAATTAAATGTAAGAACTGCTTACATTTTTACAATCAATTTGAGGTTTTGCATACAATTTTCAAAATAAGACAAAATTACTAATTTAATCATTTATCACTGACGGAAAAACGAAAACACATACATTTCTTTGAGTTGTCACGAGTTATAGCTATTCTCTGTGATAAAATGCACAAGGCTTGGTTTGCACGCTGATTGCATATGCTTACACATTTTTTAAAAAGTTTTCATACAATTAAAATAAATCCGAAGGCGTGCGGCGTCAATATCATGAAAACATAAACTTGAGCATGCGCAATGGCTTTGCTTGCATCCTTGCATTTTCGACATTATTTATAGTCTTATTCAACTGAATTATATAAATAAAATCAGATATTAAGCAAATATCCATACATTTAATGGTTGGGCAAACAAATTGATAACCTTACATTTTATACTTTATCAGTTTATAAATGCACCATTATAATGGGACTTGCATATCTGTTTTCTTTTCATAACATTTGCCATAACAACCAGATCATTCGTAGCCTGATAGCGTGTATCTGCATCTAGTATTTTACAATATCCACGACATAGATGACAATGTGCGATTGTTAACGATTATTCTAAAATATATAAGCGTTATGAGAACATAGTATTGTGTCCTTTTTAAATGCATACTTCTGTTGTCAGTTCAGATTTCATTCTATATAAACAAATACGATATGTTTTCTAAACGAGCAGGCAACCCCTACTGCTTTGCGATGACTTTGTCAAATGATTAAGTACAAGCTTAATAAATGTAGGTAAAGAAAGTCTCTAAAGTACTTTGTATAATATGCATAAAGCGGAACCCTATCCGAGACATACCGAGAACCATCTGAGTGTTGGGAATGGCCTCAGCAAAAGCTGATTCTGTCTCATTCATACTTTCGTTATGATCTCGAGAGGTCCATTTGGCGTTGCTAATGACTCTTTTTGTAATGCGCGGGCTTTCGATACCTGTTGAGAAATCAGAGACAACTCTATGCGGTGAATTACTCGGCTCGTGTGTCGATGAAGAGCGCAGCCAGCTGCGTGAATTAATGTGAATTGCAGGACACACTGAACATCGACACTTTGAACGCACATTGCGGCTCTTGCTCACTGCCATTATATATTTATACCATCATTTGGTATGCAATTCACCGAATAGAGGTCAACTTGTGTACTTTTTTCAAAAGGGCCCCTATGGTGTGACCGCACTTTTTCCAAAAATATTTAATTTAATGATAAAAACCTTTAAAGGGCATATCATGGAGGTTCTTATCAAACATTAAAAAAAATGTTGATTGAATTTTAAATGAGTATAATATGAATGTAATATAATATTCCAGAAAATTATGTTATATCCTGCATAAATAAATACGCTATTGGAGCATGTATCTCGCAGACATGCAATAGCATCAATGTAAAATAGTTTTTTAGGTATGATACTAACTACCACCAACATTTTTTCAATAGAATAACAAAGCTTCTAATTTTGCGAAATTGACTTACACTGTTATTTTCCTTACCATGCAGACATTCTGAAGTATACAGGAATATATGAAATTTATTATGACTTACCTTGGCAGCCATTTTCTCTTTGGTATTTCCTTCCTGAAACAGACAATTAGTCTCTCCCTATACATAATACGTAAAGATTGTGCAAAAAGAAAATTATTTTAAAAAAGAGAAATTGATTAACAAAAGCCATATGAATGATATATGTGAATACATAAAATGAATTAGAAAAAATACTACCTTTTTAGTTTTTTAATAAGAAATTTATAGTCATCAAAGCTTAGACTTTTTATACTGTTCATTCCGACAAACGTTTTGATAAGATTGCATTTCAGGGGTGCAAAGATGTGGAGGAATGTAGAGATAGTAGAGCAGTGGTGCCCTGGGATGGGTGTGCCGCTTTGTGTACACAAAACAATTATCACTAAAGCCTTGACAATATACCAACAATTTGAATAACTGTCGGGAAAAGAAGCTGAGGCAGACAAAGGTTGACGAAAGCAGCTAAAAACCGATTCTTGATTATCCAGGCCTGCAACGCATAATCGTTGTGACATACTTAATGCTTCTACAAAAGAGGTAAAATGACTGCCCAATGGTAGATGATGACTTCAACACTCAGTGCCCATAGGAGTCTAGGTTATCAAGGACTACCTGCAGAGAGAGAGTGTACTGAACACCTTGACTGGCCACCTTAATCCAACTAAACTGCTGTGAATGAGCTGCAGGGATTGATTCACAGCCCAATGGGCTGCAATGTAGAAACATCCAGGAACATTATTACGCGTGCCTAAGATTGCCACAGTCGGAACACCCGCCTATGCAATATTTTACAAATTGCTACAGCTACTGCTGCTTACATCCCAGGTACACATATCAACCGTAGATCTGCCCAAACTGTGCGCAATCAATTGCGCAAAAGTAGGCACAAGGACGTCGACAATAGCATTGGCTAAGTTTTTAGGCAACATCGCCGTGTAAATTGGTTGATTGGGCACGTACACACCAATCTGACTAAGACAACAATTGGATAGCGATATTTTCTCTGACGAGCCTAGGTTTTCCATTCATCGAGCTGATGACAGGGTTCGAGTTTACCGTAGGTTAAATGAAAGTTATGTCGATACAGCTTAGCCTAGAGACACTGAATTTCCTCCGGGCGAGTAACATTGCGTTTATTAATGACTAATTTGCTAAAAGCCCTAATCTAAATCCCATTGAACACCTTTGAGATAGTTTGGGCCAGATTGATAGACGTCGCCATATTCAACCGCCAAACGTTATTTGGCTAATACAAGCCCTAATTAAGAAACAGAAAAACATTCCACAAGCCGCAATCAATGCGCTTACAATGCCAGGCAGTCGTTCATGCTGAAAGTGGCCATACCCGATATTATTTGTGATTTCGTTGGGCGACCCCTTATGCATTTTAACTGTCATTTCACTACTTTTGGTTTAACCCCCATCAATATTATCTTTTTACAAAATATTGCAATAAATAAAATCTTTCAATACATTTAAATATACTTTTATCCTGTTTTTTATGTTTGTATATTTCAGCACTTATATACAGGGGAGGTTTCAGTACATAATGAAAGTATCCAATGATTCTAACAAATCATCAATTTTTAATGGAAATACCAACAGCGTTTGTCTTAAAGAGAATTGTATATAAGAAATATCACGTCAAGAGATTTGAAAAGGATCTTACCTGAAACGTATTTTCCAATCAACTTGAATATAAAAGTATCTTAGTTTAAATGTTATTCTCCCTCCTATTGGTCTACATTGTGCGTTTGAGAATGAGTTTCATCTTTAAAAATAGATATTTATTCATTTTAGAAATGAACTACACACTTTTTTGTTGTATACTGTAATGCATACAAGTTATTACAATTACATAATTGTCGTTCTTTCGAACTCGTTTAAGAGAAATGCCTAAAGTGTTTAACTAAAATGTGCAACGAAAAAAAAGAGTAAGGAAACGTTACTGTAATATCGATTGTATTAATTTTATTTTACAAAATTTAATATGACAATACAAGCAATTAAAATATAGATTTTAAAATTAAAGATAAATCAAAGTTTTAGATTTGAATCTCAAGAAAACATTTAATATTATTAATCATTAGATAGAATAATTGCTAAAGCGCTTCAATAATTACGCTTTTATGTTAAATACGCTTTAAGTCAACTTTACCTTTAAATTGTCCGAAGTCTAAATGAAGGAAATCAAAAAAGTGATAATCGGTACGATAATGACTAATTTGGATTAGGCTTACCAAATAAGATTAGCCTTTCAGAAAATCACCCATGGTACAAAACCAGGTCGCTATATGACAAGAAATCCGATTTGGGTCTCCACTGATCTCATACCCTCTAAACATTTTTTGTACCTTTTTATCTTTTAAACATATTATCTTTTCATTATCTTACATTATATTGATTAATATCAATTAATTACATGGTCTTTCTCTTTTGGTCCTTTGTTATTAGAAAGAATATAATGTAATGTACTTTTCAAACTCAATCTTTTTAAAATCAGCTCCTATTAAAGCTAGGTTTTAGGATCTGACGGACACAAATAAGAGGTCACCTTCTTGTGACCTATCAAACAGCCAGTAATCGACTAGCTTTCACAATTTTAAAGAAATGCGATTTCTAATTTTAAACGATAAGCACCACATGTTTTAGAGTGAATATGTTCGGCAATGGCTTGATATACGTCATACAAATGGCATTTAATGTCAATTACATGTTAAATTATTATGTGATACTGTAGTGTTAGTACAATAATGTGTGTCTGCTCCCACTATAGATATCCTTTAAACGAACAAAGAGGAGTTCATTTCGTGACAACATGGCGAGGTCTATCAGATAAGAATTTTTTCATTTAGGTTCGTGCCATCTGAAAACATTCCTGATTTAAACTACAGGTATATACTCGTGAGAGCGAGTCAACACTGTCTATATATACCAAAGACTCGTGGTGTCATATTCATGTTTCATTTATTGGTTAGCTTCCCTACAGCATAACTTAAGTGTGTCAGTCCTGTTCCAGTATATCGATAGGTGCTAGAATGGGTGTTTCCATTTCACAACTGGGCAGATCTAAACAGACATTAGCCACAGTAACATCTTATCTGTATGCAGTGCTCAACTGTTTTACACTTGTGTAAAACCTAGCCTGTAGCATAGTGAGAAGCTTTTGTAGCTTACCAAATGTTGAGAAGTTTAGAAAGAGTAAAGAAAATGAAATATATGTTACCTCATATTCAAAAAAATAAACCTTGAAATCAGACAAAAGAGTTTAATTCAGTAATTTAGTTTATCCATTTTCCCTTAAAATGAAATGACAAAAAAACCTATGCAAGAGTAGACACCTCCTATGAAAAACCAAAATCTGTTTTCTATTCCAAAAAAATGGTGCGATTGTAATAATAGAAAACTTGTATCTGTCATAAAATCGGTATTTTAATATTTTAGGTATTAAGAGAAATACTGCGTGTGTGCTTGTGCACTGTTTGCACGCGTGCACTTATATTGAAGGGATATCAAGCGTAAATCATTATATCGCCTTTCAAAATAACAAATGTAAAGCAAATCTTTGTAATTTTGATAATAGACAATTTTATCGGTTTTTGGTAAAAACCCTATATCATGAAAACAAATAATAATTGAAATACTAAGCAGGGCACAAGGGCGTTTGTTAAATAGGCATGACTGATTTTACATGATTTAAGTATGATCATTACTTTCAATTTCCTTTCCGATTTTTTCTGGTTTTCGAGCTTGTTCACAGAAATGAGATCAAAATGCTTAAGGTAATATTTTAATATTTTTGTTAGGCAGCATGTTGGTATAGAACAGACGTGTGATTTTTGTAATTTCATAGCCAAGGTAAAAGTTTTATTCTGCGGGGACATAACTATCCACAATACGAGTTAGCCTACATCAGCAATGGCATGTTCCTGCTCAGTTTTTTGTTTGTTATTTGTTTTTTGTTGTCGTTTTTTGAGTGGGGGGGGGGGGGGGGGCAGCTACAAAATCATTGATCCGCAACTGCTTTGTAAGTCTTTATATACTTATATACATGTTAAATCTTATAAATGGTCGCAATAATTATGCCGTTTTTTATTTTAGAAGGATGGATATACATGTATTTACATTATTTAAAGCAGAAAATATATTTAACGTGAAAACTAACTATATTCACGCCGGCAAGCTAATTCATGTGGGTGAATTTGGTATGTTAAGAACATTAATGTGATTGTTTATTTCCAACAGGTAAGCCAATTCTTTCATTATTTTTTTAGATAATATGTTGATAAGGCTTTGTGGGCTTATTGACAATCGAGCCGCCCATATTGTACAGTGTTGACATGTAGCTATTTCGAGTAGAAACCCCGGACACTTCACGGCTATGCAGTCTTCCTCAGGTTACTGTACATTTGAATTCTCATTAGCCGCCGTACAGTGACCTACTTTTAGCTGAATATTCTTATCTTCGGCGTATCACTCCGTTGAAATTGCATGGAGATAAATTATTACCACTTTGCGCTTCAAAATAAAACCTTTAAGGGCATGACTGGTGACATGTCCGTGCCCGTACTCGACAGAGAAAACTGCATTGATTGCCTTAACGGGCGGATGGACCCTCATTAAACATAGAATACATATATGCATGATGTGCCATCTTCTAATCTGACTATAAATCCACGGTGTTGCAAGTTCGCTGCAAACCTACTTAAACTATTAACACGTCTTTTAGAACATAATTTGACAAAGTATTATATGATAAAGTATTGTTTTAAATAAAATGGCAAGCATATGTAAGATCTACTTACGATAAATGTTTAGTTAAATTTCGATTATTTTATATATTCCTGAACACTCTATTTGATTATTAAATGTCTAACTTTATACATAAACAGAAAACAATTTAATGTCCCGCTTAACTCAAAGGAATTTAAATCAATAGAGATAAAGAGATAAAGAAATTAAATCAATGTAGATAAAAACAAAATTCAACCAATATAGACAAAGAAAGATATCATGCTTATGCATGCCACATTATGCTCAAATGTTTATATCGATACCTAAAGATTTCAAACAACTTGCTGACTAATCAAAATGCAACAAATATTTAAAAGAGATTACTACGGAAGCGCAGAAGTGACATGCTGGTAGCCACGAGTTATCATTTTATCACCTGAGTTAACTTAAAGTTGTTGCCAAATTAGTTTTCTTACCACGAGCTCACTTCTTTTTTTATGATATCGTGTAAATTAATTACCTGAATTAAAAAAAAAATCATTAATGAAGTAAGTAATTAAGTAACTTGTTATGTACTTACTTACCTACTTACTTAATTTATTGATTAGTTTATTAATTAATTAATTTATTAACTTATCATTTATCTCTCTCTATATTTATACGTTTTTTAGTTTCTGATTTTATTACCACGTTGCCCCGAAACAATCAGGACAATATCCCCGTGTTACCTCTATGCTTCGTTGATATCACGTTAAGTGGATAAATATTAAAGTGTCGTAAATACCTGTATTTAGTCCGTTGTGATTTTGATATTGACAGTTTTACATCAGTTATTTACTTCCTTGTGCATACAAGGGACAGGACGTGAAGTGGTTTCACACTTGGTTTAAAGGAGCACATTTGACAAATGGTGATCGAGTTATAAACATTTATATCTCCCGTTCGAATTTGTCCAGGTAATTAGTTTTATATTTTACATTATGGCAATGTAAATGACAAACATTGAATAAAGAAGCGGAACATATTAAAGAAAATTTAAGTAACATTCGAACCCAATTACCTTGACTAATTTGAGTTGGCGCTAAATTTTCATGACTTGGTCTCCATTTTGTCAAATTGGCAACAATTTCAATTTTTATAACAGTAACAACAACGGCAGTACATGTAGCAACAACAAAAGTCAGTTACAACAAATGAAGTTAAAGTATATATCATCAACAACAGTATAAGAGGCATAGCAGCAGTACAGGTATAACAACGCCAAAATGAGAAGCAGTAGTACAAGTATTAACAACAATTACATATTAGCAACAACAATAGTAGCAACAGAGGTATTAGCAAAAACAACAACATTTATAACAACAGCACTTGTTGTTACAACAACGCCATTATCATGACGTTATCCTTAACCGGTATTCATTCAAATGTTATCAATTTGTATATAAAAGATGCCACTAGGAGGCCAGCTTTTTATATGCATTTTAGTATGCTTTCGTGATATGCATTCGTTAAGCTATGAATTAAAGCATATCATAATTATTATTATTATTATTATTATTATTATTATTATTATGGCATACTGGTTTTTGAACCAGGCCTAGACATTAAGGCACAAAAATCATTATTTGCATTTTCAAATATTTCATTTATTGCTCTTCCGTACACATAAGAAAATTAACGGACACAAAAGCAATTTCCAAGATTTTCTTTTTATTCAAGATTTTATTCGTGAAGTGTAAAAAGCACAACAAATGCGTATACATACAAATGTTTGTTAAATAACTGACAAGTTAACAAGTTCAGAAACTAAAACACCAGAAAATAAAAAAAAAGAAAGAAATACTACATATTTTTATAAATGTGAAATAATTTGTTTGTTTTCGAGTAAAAAATACAACAAAAAAACCCGCAAAATAGCCTTTAAATTACAAAAATCTTCCATTATCAAGAATGTTATAGGTTATTGCAAATCTATATTTCTTTTTTCATATTTTAGACACATGACCTCCACTCAAAGAGGTTATGCATCTATATAGCATTAATAGATGCGATCTCCAAGCATTATAATGTTACTTTACATAAATTTATTTTGTCTTAGTTTTCTTAAAGCCGATCCGAGACTGATCAAATTACCCCCTAACAAGTCATTCAATCTCGTTCGCGTATGATAAGTACACTAAGTATATAAACCGAGCTCGCTTCTGCAAATTCCTTTTCGATTGAGTCTCAGAATCCCTGAAGCTGCCCTGAAAATATCACACGAAAAATACCAACCCGCCCTTCCAATAAGCCTGCTTGTTGTCTCTTTTACTTCTGTTTTCAGGAAATAATGGCCACCACGGTACTTATCCCTTCTTCGTTATGGCTAGACTTATCAAATGAACAGTTACTTTTTGTTTTTCTTGTTTCTTGTTTAATAAATAATTCACCCTTGTATTGTTTTTTTTACCAAAACACGATGCATACAGTATATAAGCTTTTAACACGCTAACGAAACAAATAAAGCAAGGAATACATAAATAAACAAAACATGTCATGCACGTATTACTATTACCTTGGTACAGACACTGGTATTAAAACTAAACAAAACAAGATATGATTATATGGATATTGTATTTCAGACATTTAAAATAGAACAAGATATGTTTCCATGAAGTCAAAACGGCATGCAAAAAAGAAGCAAAACATGATATGGATATTAATGTACCGACACTTAAAACAAAACATGTACTTTTAACATGTACACAATAATAAAACAAAACATAAAATGGCTTTTGGTTTATTTGAATATAATTTGCAGATGTTCTTAAAACGTATATTCTTTAGTCAATGAAAGGGAACATGAAAACAGAGTCCACGAATTTTAAAGATAAATCTAAGGGATTGTAATAGAGTACTTATGAACATAAGTATCAACAAATACGATAAAATATTCAAATATGAATGCAACTGGGTCAATTTTCAGAAGTGCTTAACATAATTATCTGAATCCTTCAAAATACTCACCACAATGTGATATACAATGTTTTAGTCTATTAATCCAATTTATAAATGGGTTTTCATAATCTTTTTGAGGTATACTTTTCAGATACTGGAATATAGCCGAACCGAGGTTTTTCGCGTTTTATGATTTCTTCCAGCAACGTGTTTTTTGAGCCTCGAAAATAGGAACAAGGGGCAAGATCTGGCGAATAAGGAGGGCGAGAAAGCACGACAACCTTTTTCCTGTTTCAGATATTGTCGTACAATGACCGCTTTGTGTGACGAAGCATTGTCATGCAACAACCTGGAACCACGGAGACCAGGTGCTGGTCGACGGATTTTGAAATATTTCTTTAATTTATGAACGATATTTCCTTTGTTAAACTTGGCATTTACAGATTTACCCTTTGGTACAGCAATTTGATCAGCAGGGCCTTGGTTGGTAAACAAAATTACATTCATGACCTTTTTGACACTCACGGTGCGTTTTTCTATGCAAGGTCTTTGACTTCCTTCAATTGCCCATATTTTGTTATGCATCTTTCGCTTGGTCATAAAAGTGAACCCACGTCTTATCGCCAGTGATAATATTTGCGAAAGATCGATTGGTGTTTTTAGGGAACTGTGAGAAAAAATTGTTTGGAGATTCTTACCCGAGCAAGTTTTTGTAAGGTGATAGAGTATCCATTTGGCACTTATCCTTCTCATTTTAAAACCACGGGATACCAACGTAATTTGCTATAACCCCAGATAACCCCAGATGTAAATATTGCATCACTAGCAATCAAATCCTGTACTTTTTTTTATCATTTTTGGCGATGTTGAAGTTTTCGGATGGCGTGCAGGAGGTGCATCTTTTACTGAATCCATACAACTTTTAAATAAATTTCTTAAACCACCGTGTGACATTTTTTCTCATAAAGACGACAGATTTCATTGAATATGTATTTCACCTGTATACCAATGTGTGTGTATATTTGCGTTTATTTATACTCGCCACCGGTTGCCCATATGAGTGAGTCCTTCAGAAGAGTATTAGTCATTTAAGATTTTTCGAGGATAGTGCAATTACAGATACAGAAAGATGCCCCAATTCCAGAAGCTTCTCCTGGTTCTTTAGCGTGCCAAGTGTTTAAGCACCCATACACGGGACCTCGGTTTAAAGTCTCATCCGAAAGACTGATTTTAGTAATTTTAGTTGGCCAGCCCGGGAATCGAACCCACAATGTCGAGATTACAAGTCTCGCTCTCTTACCGATTGAGCTACTCTTACCGATTGAGCTATGCGGGCTGGCCCTGTATACCAAGAATACCACGGTTCTTGATATAGGAACGTATTTGGCCAGTGAAAGGAGGCATTTTCCAAAACATTTTAGATTTAATATACACGATTGGTAGGGTTAATCGAGCTTTTGTCAAAGCTTGAATGAACTGATTAACACATGTCGTCACTTCAGTGCAATAACGTAATAAATCATTCTAAATTTAATAGCAATTAATCAGTTGTTGCACTTAAATATGATAAACAAGATCAACAAGTAAAGGCGGCGTTCAATGTTTGCAACCCCATACGACCCAGCAACAAGAACCAGTGGCAAGAAGCCCAGGCGGCCCCTAAACAAAAACAGGACAGGGCACAAGATAGAGCACGGACAGGTTAATCACTAAATGATAAATAATTTGTAAGGTGACGATGTATTGTATCAATTAAGAGCTTACACAATCAACTAGGTGATACATGTACATAGTTCGTGCAAAACGTTGTGAAATTATTTTGAAATTTTAATTTCATTAGTTTTCATGTACCATAACTGAAAGCAACACGGGCAGTACCAGAAACCAGAAGGGTGAACCTAATATATTGACAGTGTGGGATTCGTCGAAAGACTTACTTCAATTTTTGTTTAATTTATTTTAATAAAATTACAATGAGTGGTGCACAAATGGGTCGTCTTTTAAACCTAAATGTCAAAGTTTTGAGCCCATATATGGATCTCGACCATGTGGACTTTAAAAGAATGGTTCCAATATGCCTTAAGCTGGTTTCATAAATGAGCTTAAATAAAGTAAGAATTTAAACTTTACCGCATGGCAAGATCCATTACTCTGACTTCGTTATTTTTATCATCACTTAAAATATTTACTTGACACAGGGCAAAACTCTAGCTTATCCAAGGCTTAGACATTTGGTCGTCCCATTTTAGGCAATTTGATGATTAGTTATTCTTCCTGAACAATATAGTAAGAACTTGTCTATCATATAAGACAATATAGTTAGAACTTGTTAATGAAAATTGCACAAATTGGATAGTACTTTTTTTTAAAGCAATAGTATGAAATGTGAACGTCAACTACATATATTCATTTTTTTTTATTATTTAACTCATACCTATTTTTCAAAATCATATTACTAACATATAATGGTTATTTTGCCATAATTAAAACATGCTTATCTCTCAAACCATGTAATCGTTAAAGGTTTCTTACTACGACGAAAATTGAACTCATTTCACTAAATTTTATTATCTTTATATGCAATAATCGCGAAAAGTCATAAACTTATGTCATCTTTCACAATGGGGCCAAACAAAGAGGTTTTCCATATGCTGCCAATATTTATATCTTTTCTGTGTATCGGAGGTAGGATTTTTACTTTGAAGTTTTTGTGTGGGTGTCGAAATCGCGAAATCATGATTATGTCATCCATTAAAGTTGTTGAACATGCGATTATTTCGTAAGTACCGTTCATATCACAAATTAACATGCCATCCTTATATACCGCAACGCTTTAAAAAAATCTAATAAAGACATTGGCTATAAAAGAGTACCTTAAACAGTTTCCTGCAAAAAAGCCAAACAAATAATTGTTTATCAAGAAATTTCCAAATCAGAAGTCAGTTTCAATGACTTTGTTTTCAAAACAGTTTTCAAGTTTATTTCAAACGTATGTCCTTGCATGTGTTGTTGTTCAGATGTTTTTTATGACATTAGATTTTTTTTAACCAGAATGATTTTTGAAGATAATAAACAAGACACGGAATTCAAATCAAAATAATAAAAATGCATTTTGATGTAAAATAAAAGTCTTTGAATCAACACCTTTTTATTATAATGTTTTTGTGTTGTTGTTTTGTTTGTTTGTTTTTTTGTAATTTTTCTTTATTTTTTTTGGCCGACATGGTGCTGTGTGTTTTTGTTGTTGATGATTTATAGCCATGTCGATGACACTGATGTACAAGTTAGAAATAAAGTCCTATTCTTGTCCTGTATATAACATAAATTAATTCCTTGCCATCTTTTGCTTTCATAGCTTCTTGTTAAACTATTTAACTATTTACTCTAGTGATATGATATGAGGATTCTCTGACGGTGTTAAACAATGTACACATAGATGTCCAAAAAACTGTAGAATATTGAAATGTGATTAGAAAATTACTGTACTGTAAATATTTGTCGTAGAGAACGAAAGATGGAGGGAGATATGTGTGTGTATATGTGTGATATATGTATATGTGTGTATGCATATTGATGTGTGTGTATGTATGTCTATGTTGGTCCATGAAATAGTTCTTATTCTTTTTATCAATTATGTCAATATATAATGATGTGTTTTTGGGATGCTTAAAGTTTTATTTGGATACTTAAAGTTCTAATTGATTACCATTTTCATTCATTTTGAGTTTTAGATAGAACGGAGTACATGCAATTTTCAAGTAAATTGTTTATTGTAAAGAAATTGAAACATTATGCAGTTTGTTTGTATAGGTATATCTGCAGGAACATTATGTCCGGACAACTGGACAGCGTTCAGAGGTTCATGCTACTTATCTCCTCGTTATAATCTCTCGTTCCATGATGCAGAGGTTTGTATTGATAAAGGCTATTTAAGTTTGTCCCCAGTAAAGATCAAATATTTATATTACAAATATAGCCCTGTGTATAAATAAAGGATTTATTTTCATCAAATGGTATGGAAACAAATCATGAGTTGCGGGAGCCACAAGTGAAACATGATAACTTTCATACCACAAGATTAGAACACTCCCTCTAGTTAAAGTAAAAATAAACTTGATCTTTCTGTGTATTTTATACTTTTTTTCTCTGTTGACTTTACAATTTGAACGACTTCCCCTTATTTATTGGCTGAATTTAGGAGTAAGTAGTCCGTCAAGACACCAGTGAAAATACGGAATTATGTTTCACCGCAGTAAAATTGTTTTCAGTGGATATACGGATACTGAAAATTGTGCTGTGAAATCTAAAACATTGTAAATATAAAAATGATTTAATGAAACAATTGTTTAATACTATTTAATTGAGTATATAATAATTTAAGATATTATTGTATATTGTATAAACATATAAAAAGAAATTTGATCTACAAAAGTCTCAACAAAATGTCCTAGCCATTGAATGTCAATTTCAATAACTATTATTAATTTGATGATATCTTTTTCTGTACTATTAATGAAATACAGATACAATACAAGACAAACTAGTGAACTATGTAATGCGGTAATGTAGGCTAGAATGATATACCACTGTATTTACGTATCATCATGTGTTCCTTATATAAAATGAATAAATACAGATCTGTTCTGTTCTTTGTTTCAGCGATTTTGTGAACATCTGGGAGGATATCTAGTAGAAGTAGATGATGCAACTGAAAATGCATTCCTAAAAAGTTACTAGGAGAGAATGATGAGTATTTAAAATATAGTAACATAACTATTACATCAATAGAGGATATTGAATGAGTGTAAGTTCAATACTGAATTTATTGCACGAGTTGAATAGAATTATATTATGCGAGCCTCTGGCGAGCATAATATTATTTTATTCAACGAGTGCAATAAATTCAGTAATGAACTTACACGAATTTAATATTCTATTTATCACATACCCAAAATAAAGACCGTTTAAATGAAATAAGAGTAATTTTACATTGACGCGCCTTTAATATAACGTTAACATTTAGCGCGTCTTTACACTATGTTTGTATACCGCTAATGACGTCACGTCAAAATATATGCACGGCCGTGCAATACCATATTTACGGAGTCGCAAAATCGGCACGGGTGTGTGATAAACAGTTTTAAAAAGTCAAGGATTGTAAATATCATCTATTCTAAATACATACACAATACAAGATATACTCAGATTTTAATTTAAAGTCTTTTTGTAGGGTTAAACGCTTTTCAAACATTTATTCATTTTGCACCAATACCTGGAGCGGCGTGAGCAAAATAATCCGAAATTGCGCATGGTTATTAAAACTCAAGACCTTTAAGACATATTAAACATTTCTCAAAATAAATGTTTCGAGTCTTGCATGTAAATGAAGTAGTGGAGCAAGGTTCATGATCGTAACAGAGTGTAAATCTATAGTTGGATTTTGAACATGCAATGGTCATCTTTAATTACAACTTTTATCACCTGTCCAGTAAATGACTCTATGATACTGTACAAGAGGCCCTATTCAGTAGGCCCTACAAGACAGTACATGATTCTTATACATTATAAGCATTAAATTACCTGTTCTAACAAACATCATTTTTTCTTACGAAAGATACCGTTCATTGGATCGGTCTGACAGATGAAGTTACTGAAGAAGTTTGGAGATGGTATTTTAATAACAAGGTAGCAACTTTTACTTATTGGCACAGACTCACTTATGAACCGAATGGAGGAATAGCACAAAACTGTGTATATATTGCCGAAGGTAACGGATATGAGTGGGCTGACGCGCCATGTATCTCCAAACGGACACCACTCTGTGAAAAGAGGTATTTTGATAAATTGATAGTTGAGGTATCAAACATAACATGAATATTATATCTGGCGTATTGTCATCATATTAACAGTTAGATTGTTGTAAGTTAGTTCTGATCTAATAGAAACAAAAGATGAATATTTCTAATGAGAGACTTGCTATCTTTCTCTTAATTTACCTTGTACTATATAAAGGATATGTAAAAAAGCAAGAATTACCTTAAAAATGATACATGGCTATTGTAAACGTAGTCATATAATTATTTTGATTTAATTCTTTGTCAGTGAAGACTCTTATTTTTTATACATATCCAATGGGATGTAATGCCTTGAGAAAAAAAACACAGTCGTTTAAAGTATTTCTGAAAATCAGAATAGATTTCATAAAACAATAAAGAATGACATTCAATTTAAAATCATAAAGTGCCGTAATAGATAGCCTTTATAATACGATTTATAATATTTAAGATGTACACATATATATAGGCTAATTGCATCATGGAACAAAAAAAAAACAACAATTAATAAACGTTTCTTATGGCTAAGAGGTTAAGAGACCGGCCGTAGTTAGATAGGAATAGTTTGGTTACAGGAAAACAAAAGTTAGATTCATTGTTAATAAAGATGTTTGAATCATACCGTAATCTTATTTTCATGATGTAATTTTAAAACTAAATGTCCGTGCATTGTATGTCGTGGCATCCGTAAAATTGTGCATAAAAAAGAACTCTTTGTAAAGTTCAATTTTAACAATTTGAGATCGTTAACTATATAAAAAGAAGGCATAGTACTGCAAACATTTTCAGATGACGAGGTATTTAACCAATGTTGACTTTTTTTATAAATTCTATAACGTATGCTATTTATTCTAATAAGACAAAGCAAAAGACAAAGTAGTTCATTACGTCCTACCCGACGGTTAATGAAATAACTCAGGCAATAGTATGCACATAGTATGCATGTAAAACAAGCTATCAGCTAACAGTTCGTTCCTTAAACTCAAATAAAGTTTAATCTTAAAAAGCCCGTTTTATTTCACTTTATTTAGTTATGAATAATCAATGAGATTTCAAATGTTCAGTTCAGAATTTTATATCATACTTATACTCCGTCCTTTCAATTGTGACTCCCAGGAAGTCAAGGTAAAAGTACATACAATGTGTAGCCAAAATTGTTATCATTTCTTGTAAACAGAATGTGAGTTACAATATAAATTTATTCATTATTGGTCTTTATTGAATTAATGATTTTTGGTCACTGTGGAAAAAACAGGTGTTCATGCGTAAGACTAGTATGTTTATAAAGTGTTCATGCGTAAGACTAGTATGTTTATAAGGTGTATGTAAACGGGTATTTGATCTTATGATTAATTCCGCGGCGAGGGGGATTTACATATGCGCGCACACACACGTGCACATCACTATCACCCACTATTTGACCAGTCGAGATACAATCGGTTCAATACACATGATATCCGCCCAACCCGCCCTCTCTATGAGAACATGAAAATAGTTGTTTATTTTATTGGATTGGACTTTTGATTTCATATATAGTGATGTTTATATTCATGTCAGAATTATATTTTAAGTGGCAGATTAAAAAAAAATAGAAAAAGATATACGTATATACATTTATATATAAATTATTAACGAGATCTATAAACCGTACCAATTGGTTAATCATTCTTGTATTGAGCGTTACTGTTTTGTTGGGTTTTTTTTGTTGTTTTTTTTCAGAGATATTTTTTATTATGTAATACTTAAAAAATACGTGCATATATTTTAACAAAAAAAGAGAAGAAAGCAACAGAATATTGTATCATAATATAAAATAAGACAACTATTATACAAGTGCCGTTATTAGACACAAATATTAACGGACAGGTCATGGTACAGTATTTTGTAGAAGTTATGTTTGACCAGGGTCAACTGCTTTAGTAATTCATTTCATTATCTAAAATTAAAATAATAAACTTGGATATGTTTTCTCAACACAATTTAAGATGGGGGAAATCAGTTCAATATTGAATGATTAATAATAAATGTATTTTTGTGCACTTTTGTTTGTATTGTTTTTGCTGTTTAAATTTGCATATAACAATTGCCACAAGAAGGCCTTTTTTATTTTTGTACTGTAATAAGCATAATGTTAAGCTATCAAGAAATATCACTATCATTATCACTATCATTATGGCATTAAGGCAAAAATAACAAAAACATTATTTACATTTTGAAATATTTCAGTCATTGCGCTTCCGTACATATACGAACATGGACGGACACGAAAGCAATTTCCAACGTTTGAGAAAAATAATTAAACTGAATTTTCGTTCAAATTATTTTATTCGAGAAAATTAAATAGATAACAACTGCGTTTACAGACATATGATTGTTAAAGCAATAAAAGTTTAACAGAAAAGTTCAGAAATTAAAGAAGAATTTTCCAAAATTTAAACAATACATATTTTTATAATACTACACTAAATAACATTATCCAATGACAAATTTGAAATAATTATTTTGTTTCTGCAACTGTATCATTTTGTTACAGATTTAAAGTGACATTATGCTCATTTTTTCCATTGTTATGTTGAGCTGTTGTGACTTTATGCTTCAAAAGACTGATTGTTACATTTGTGATAAACCAACAGTTGATATTCGAAAATGTTTAAAATGAACTATAAATCTGCTGAACATAAAGAGACTGTGCCACTCTTTTTATAAATTGAACGATACAAGTCATGTAACGTTTTATTGATTTTTACAGACTTTTCTTTGGGTCAGGTAAGTTATTTATCGTACATGTGAGATAAATGTTAAATTCACTATATACCCTTTGATGGGCATAATGTCATTCTAAATACAAAATAATCATCTCTCAAGAGGTCAGGAAAGTATAAGACATAGATGAAGTCTTTTATTGTTGCAATGCTACAAGTTAAGTCGCCAAACAATATAACATGATGTTACACATATTCTGCCTTTCTAAATTTCGATACAAATACTTCATAGAAACCATCCTACATAGAAAGAGAGCACATACGGAGGTATAAAAAGACAGATCTAATTACTTGAATACAAATATCTCATAGTCAAGTAGAATTATAATAAATAAGACATTTTTTATTTATTTAATGATTTCCGCTTGCATTGTGTTGGAAACAAAACATGTCTTTTTAAATGTATACACAATAAACAGTTTATGAGCTATAAACACGCAAACTTAACATGGAATAATAGGAATACACACAGTTTCTAGTAGAGTTATAGAAATAAGATATTCTTCTTTGTTTAATGATTCACGCTCACATTGTTTTGGAAACAAAACATGACTGTTTAAATTTATACACAATAAACAGTTTATTGCTATAAACACGCAAACAAAACAGGGAATGCTAAGAATACAAACAGTAAACAAAACATGTTATACCCGAAATTTTCTAGCTTGGTACAGTCACTGGCATTGAAGCAAAACAAAATAAGAAATGTTCACATTCCTCTAAAAAATACACTCACAAATTAATATAAGGTTATATGGATATTGCAATTAAGTCATTTAAAACAGATCAAGAAGTGTTTCCATGAAGTCATAAAGTACATACAAAACAAAACAAAACAAAACAAAACATGATATGGCACAAAGGTTTTTACACTTACAAAAAGAAAACAAAAAAATCAGGACTGTTCATGTACACTGTCAGAAAACAAAACTTGTTGCCCTTATATGGCTTATATGCTATATTTATATCATTAAATTGCTTTTAAGATTTGTACACATTAAAAAATATGAAGCATTTGGGTGATTACTAAGGTAAAATGACTAACAACAAATAAAAACAAACTATTCTATGACTATGCTTAGAAGTATTTTAATTTATTCTTAAATCAACAGTACGGAAATATGATGAAACTGGACAACATATACGAATTCAACATAAAATATGACTGATGTTCACTGACAAAATCTTTGAATGTTACCATTTCTATTTTACAAATCGTTTATTATAAAATTCATATCATAGATTGTGACCGCTGATGTCGCTGCATATCAATGTTTAGTAACATTTTTTGTGATTATGATAAAAGAACATGGCACCCTTTTGCCATTTTAGTTGCAGATGGAGGCGTTTGATTTCAAATTGGAATTATTTTCTATAGAAATGTTAGATATAGATGGGAGACGCGTTTATACGACCTCTTAAGAATACACACAATAATTAAGATATGGTTAAATGGATATTGCGATTAAGACATTTATAACAGAACTAGAAGTGCTCCCATGAATTCTGAAAGTACATAACAAAACAAAACACAATAAGGCTATGCAGGTATCGACACTAAAACAAAGCATAAATGTTTATGAACTCACTCATGAAACAAAACTAAGTGTACATATATGATGTTTGCTACATTTTTATTGCTCCTTACATACTGTAAACATAAACAAAATACAATACGTTTGAAACTAAGATATTGAGAAACACAACAAAAAAAGAGAAATGTTTTAGAAACATGTACATGTAAGTATGTTAATAAGTCAACAAAAGGGAAACATGGAATAAGACAGAATATACTAATTCATACAACTCTTCATAAACTCATTTTCGTTCAACAATCGTTTAACATATAATTCATGATCACTGATGCCAATGTATAACTTTTTTTGTTTAGTAAACTTGATTAGCGCTTTGTCAGTGTAAGAGCATTGTTTTGATTTTCAAAATGTATATTTCAATAGCTGTATTTATTTTAAACAGAAATAAAACACAAATTGAATGAATATAATAAAATTAGTCCGGAAAAAAACTTGTCTGCAAATGACATGTTGAAAACTGAATGAATAATATGAAGCAAAGATGCTAGACGTAGCTCCTATGATTGAGACAAGTAAAACAAACCGCAAAACCTCGGATACTTGTTCGGAATAACTCAGACACAAGCCTTGAAATTAAAAAGTAAGGCAGTCTCTCGGGTACTTTTCGGCAAACTCATGAATTTAAGCTTAAATTATTTTCCAGACAGTTTAGAACAACATTAGATTTAATGACAAGCAAAACGAAAATACCTGCTTTATATTTTCAACAGTGAGGGTCAACATAAACTTTGAAATATTAGCTTAACGAAAATACTTATCTGCTTTATATATTAAATGGTGAGCGTAAACACAAACTTTGAAAGTATGAAACATTCTCAGCTGAAGCAGTCAATCAAGTCCCCCACCCAAGTGGTTCACTGTTCAGCCCAACAAAGAAAAATATTTGTGATCCCAAAATCGTCGAAATCCGTAAACACGTTAACTTTAACACTTTTAATTTATCAAGCTAAATATTAAACAACACAAATCTTTGCAATATGATGAAATTGTTTTTGATGTAAACGCAATGCTACGATCGTGAAATTCAAGCTGACAAAATATATGATTTCCTTTATGTACAATATGTGACGCTAAGAATCGTAAATGCGCAGGAAAACCACGCTGCATATCAGTTAAAGATGTCACTGACAACAGCTGTTGTATTATAATATCTTAGAAACCATTTCGTCCATAAAACATTTTACGTGCATAAATTACATTTATAAGTTGAAACATATAACAACAAAGTTAAATTACGTTCATTTCCACTGATATTGCACTCGCAATAAAGAATGTTTATAACAATGAAAATCGGATGATTGCAGCCTTCGTTGCTGGTCGATTAATTAGCGGCAAAAAAGATTTTGTTTTCATTTGTCGAATATTATAGTAACACGGATTTCACTTTTCATTATTCTAGCAAATTATAAGCATTACAGCGATAAATACTAAAAAGGTTGTCTATGTTTCACCAGTTATAAATAGGGTTAACTTTATGGGACAGTGAATATGGTAAAGTGGGATCCTGTTCACCGCTTCTTCCTCTACTGATATATTTAGAAGCATAAGGATAGAGTCCATCCTCTGCGTGACCTTGGTTGGATATATATCCCCGTCCATGATGCTTTAATCCCGAAGATGATCTGAACGATGGTAATGTTCTGTGATACGACCACTCGCCGTCCTCATCTAACCTGTGATTTATTAATAGAGAAGGAATAAAAATGAAAAAGAAAAATAACCCTCCTCAAAAATATTACTAGTGGTTAAATGTATCTTCTTCCCAATACGCTATTATTAAAAGCTACGGAAAAGAAAGTCACACCCAATAGTAACGCTTACTCTGACAAAAAAATTTTAAAGTAGGTAGAAGTGAAATAAAAAATATAAGCTTGCCTCTCCTTTTTCTACCGAATGCTATGTCAAATTGCTCACAAACAGTATCACACAGAAAAAAACAAGTATTTACTTATGTCAACAAAATAGGTCAACCATCGACTATGTATAATTCAAAAGTAGATATTGGATAGCCATAACATTGGAAACACTTGAAAATTCCACGGAAGTATGACTCGGTGCACCCATTTGCTGTGTAAACGAAATATTTAATATATATAATCAACCATGTCTAAGACTTTATACATATATATAAACTCAAAACTTACATTTGAGATCCGATGTGATGATCACGTTTCCGTTTCTGCTCTCGGAGTCTGTATCCGCGTATTGACAGCGGCAAAAACACAAACTATCACCACGACCACAAATGTCAGTCCAACTGCAAAATGAAGCAAAATGGTATTGAAAGTACGTCACAATTGGGCATGTGAACTTCCTTAACATTCTATAAGTCGGAAAGATTGGGATGTATAAATTATTATAGACAAATCTTTGAAACTATTAGAAAATTTGTTTCAAACAATTCTAATAACATTCCTTTGGACACTTTATATCTTTATGATCTTTTGTCACAATTGTGTTAAATTTATCAAGATTTTTACTAGGAAACATACATGTTTATTATAGTCTTAACATAATTCCTTGTCAAAACTAATAAAAATAATAGAAAAAAATTATATGTAGCACAAATGGCGAAAAACGTGCATTTTCTTCGAAAAACTTTTTATCTTTGTATAGAAATTGTCACTTGTGTTACAGATGATATTACTTACAGTGTTGGTCCTCTTTTCTGAAAAAAAGCAAATTACATTAACATATTTACTAAGAAGATGAAATAAATCAATTTTTCTCGATGTGCTGTACCTATGTATTGTTAGATCTTTAAAACTTTACCCTGGTATATTATAGAAATTAGTTTTTATCTATAACAAAGAGAAGAAATCGTGTTACTTTTATCTGCATACATATTAATACGCATGAACAAACAACCGTAAATCATTTCGTTAGAAATAAGTCATCCCAATTAGATCAGCAAGAAGAGCAAGGCTAAATATTCAAGAGGCTGTTGGTCTGGTGCTCTAGCGAGTCAACAATTCTCTGTTACATTTGGTTTTGGACAATGTTTCTTTAAAATAATCATTTGTCTATCAACGCTTGTTCAGAACCCATGTGAAATTAGTAGTAAGTTACTTTACTTGTGAAGAATTATTTATTACTAATAAGATTTTTAGTAAAAAGGTGGGTCTACCTCTGAGATATGATAAAGTGTTAAAAGCGCTTTAAACCAGAAGCCGATAAACAAATAAAAGATGATTGTGCAAAGTGACGCATTTGCAACAACTAATATATATATGAAGTAGTTTTCAAATCTATTTCGGAGTGTAAGTATCGGTATTTGACAGTCACTGAAAATCTGAAATACACAGTTTTACACAATTCAATGTACTATCAAATAATCTTAAAAATATACGCTTTCCAAGATTCATATGGAATGCATATGTAGGTCATATCAAAAACATTTTACATACACGCATGCAGGTATTCTTGTCTCCACAACACAATGTTCTTCTGCAGGACATTCTCCATTGACCTCAAGAAATATTTCACAGATGATAGTTTCCGTCGGACCAGTCTCGGACGCAACTTTAAACAAATACAGCAATCTTATGATTATAAATTTTTACATGCATATATAAATTGTAAGAAAAAAATGTTACAAGATTTTCTGCACTATATTCGAAATACAATATCTACATACATATTATTGTAGATTCTGATTTAAAGTGACTCCATCGCGGTTTTATTGACATGACGGGAATGGAAAACTGTTTCAAGATATCTGATATGGGCATCATTTGATACAGGTTTGGATCAATGACTTTTGTCAATTTTTCAGATCATTAAATAATCTCTTTTTTCCAGAAAAAAAGTAATATATATTGCGCAATATGGCACGAAGTTGAACAGCCTGCAATGCTTTTACACAAAATGGGAAAAGAATCGCACAAACCATCGATATTCAATTTAAGTATACTTCGTTTATTATCTTTTGCATTTCTAAGTACTTCACTTGATCTATAAAAGGATTTCAAATTTTATGTTATTAGGTTTTTTATCCTTCATAACAGCAATGAAAACGAAGACAAAACTTAGATATAACAGACTTAACTTTATTTCAGCCACACATAGGTCACATATTTAAATCTAAATATTTAAATATTTAAATACTTAAATCTTCAAATTTAACAGCATCTTTCGAATTGTAACTTTTTTAATTATCAGATCATGTTTAAGTACTAGCAATACCTTTCTTGTCGCCTACTTTTATAGTTGATGGAGACATCGATTGATTTAGGAGTTTTATTGTCTTTTCACCAGTGATTAAATCAACGTTAGCTTTGGTGAAGTCACTAGCAGTTACTTCGTTATCTTCATACTCTGCTACAAAGTCTGCGACCAGGCTTCCAGGGCTTTAAAGAAAACAAATATGGCTTTAAGATGGCAGAAAGGTTGAGAAACGGTATTCACACATGTAAACTGAACTTGAAATCTCCAAAGAAGAACTAAATGTGATATTATGTACGCAAAGAAGCACAGAGCGAACTATGTAAAGTAAAGAAAAATTAAATTGACAAATATCAATTATAATTAAGCATTTCCAATTTACAATATTACTAATAGCAATGAATTTATATCAAGTATGAACTTAAAAAGACAAGTTAATAACAAGAAATGGAAGCTACCATTTGTTAAGTAGAATATTAACTACGACAAAATTAACGGCGAATAAGAAAGCATAAGTTTATCTACCTTAGTAGAATATCCATTATACGCCTGAATGATTCACCAACACTATCTTTAAAGTACTGGGATATCTGAAAATAGTTATTGACTTGAATATGTCAATACTTGTAAACTTGTGTAATAACTCAAAAACACGTTTAGTTTCTTACATGAACTAATATAAGGATTTAATCTATAATGTCTAGAAAAACGTAAAAAATACTTGATTTGGAGAGGTACTTAGCATGATTTATAAATATTATACGAGTAAACTATATCTTGATATTACTGAATTTCTCGAAAGTAAGTAAAGGTAACAAGATAAGATTAACTAACAAGATACTTGACGCCTGGCCTGGTTACAAAGGGAATGTTTTTTGGTATCGTACAGGCTAAATGTTTATAATAAAACAATTTATTACCTCCCCTGAAACACTTGCTAGAATGTCAGCACTAGAAAGATCAATGTCAGTGACGTCCATTTGGAATACAAACTGCATAGATTTCCTTCTTATTGGAACATTCGTAACTGAAATGACATTTAAATTTATACTATACTTAAAAAACAAATAAATGTGAAATTAAGTGTGCCAATTCTTTTATGAAAATAAAGTTCATAAATTGGAATTGGCAAATTAAGATCACCAAGAGTTTTCAGACAATAAGAACATAATTATAAATAGGATAGCCTGTAAGAAAATTTTAATATACTTATTCAAAGATTAATTTCTTTAATCCTAAAACTAATCACAAGCTAATATCTTATTTTCTACCTGTCTCACAATTGATGCCTTCGTATCCAGCTATGCACCTACAAGTGTATCCGTTGACTTCATCAATACATTCGGCATCATTCTGACAAGGGCTGGATTGACATTCATCTATATCTGAATATTCAAAAAAATTAGCTATTATGGTAATCATTTATATAGATATTAAAGCAGCATGCCTCCAGATTCATGCTATTTCTCATGAATATTTTGAAAATCCATTCTATTTCTCATGAATATTTTGAAAATCCATTCTATTTCTCATGAATATTTTGATAATCCATTCAAAAGTACATCTTGTACAATGTTGGAGCGTTAAGATTGGACGCAATTTGATATATCAATTCTCGCTGTAACGCCGAACATAAAACAGTAATTCTTCGTAAGTATATTGTTAGATATCCAATATCAAATGTTAGTTAATAATATTCAAGAAAGATGGAAGAAAGGAGCATAAATAAATTTTGAAGTACATATAGTACCAAAACAGACATAGAATGCAATCTAATTTAGTTTAAACACATAACAATGTCAAATAATTCAGTAAAAAATTTACAATTACAATTAGTTAAGTGACATTAGTATCATTAAAATTAAAAAAGAAGATTTTATTACAAGTTTTACCAGATTCACAATGGACACCTTCGTAACCTTCTTTACACGTGCAAGTGTACCTATTTACGTCATCAACACATTCGGCGTTATTTTGACATGGGCTTGATTGACATTCATTCACATCTTAAACACGTTTATAAAGAACACAATTGATGTACATAGATACATAAGAATAATTGAGTGTAAAGGACCAAAACTTTGTGTTAGGTGCTTATCAAATTAAAGCAATTATTTCGAAGAACATGCAATTAGCTCGCGACTTACTCAAAGAAATAACAAGCCTTATGACTAAAATAAACACAAACATTAATCATCAGGTGTCGTATTCTTAAAGACGAATTTGTCTTGACTTAGCTGTATCAGTCTACGTGTTTGTTTTCACTGCCGTTTATGTAATATAGCAATTTACCAATTTGTCAATTTAAAAACTATAAGTACAATTAGAAAGAGAATGAAACTACTTTTGAAATTTTCGGATAAGTATGCAATGCCATAAACATAAAGTGTCTTTTACCGGTTTCACAGGTTATTCCACTATATCCACCTAGACATTTACATTCATAACCATTCACGAGATCTATGCACGTGCCTTCATGTTTGCACGGGTTAGATGAACATTCATCTATTTCTATAATTCAAGAAATACAGACATTATCAGTGAAAGTGTAATTACAAAAGCTAAATATTCGCAAAATTCGCGGTGACTATCGTTGCGCGAACGTTTTTCTCTGCGATAACGCAATCGTTATGTTAAACGCAAAAAAATGGGTCAACGAAAAATTCTTTGAATACAGAAAAGACTCTTCTCAAGAAGATAAATTTAGTAACAATAGCCTTAAATTATTAATGTTCCGAGTCATAGTCACATATTTCTAATGTGAGTCTAAAAGATTTATTGTTGCTTCTTTTGGCAATTGAAATCGAATTAAAAAATATTTTGAGTGAATATATCTGCTCATTTCAAATGTCAAATGACTAAATATATCTCATTTATTAAAACAAAGTCAGTGAGTTTTATCTTTTATTTCATTGCATTTGATTTAATTTGCAATTATAGTTTCATTTCGTAGCAAATAAATTAGGAAAAAAAATCTGCTTTTATAAGACAAAACATATAAGCACGTCAGATGTAGAATATTGCTAGATTTCCAATTATGAAAATGCATTGAAGAATCAGAAAATAGCAAAACAATGAATAATAATATTCATAAATGAAATAAGCAGGCAAATATTTTTTGACATTTTATTCCAAAATTGTTTCTAGATATTGTATAGAAACACTAAATTCTAGCTCAAAATAAAATGTCAAATCAGGTTACATGTATCTTAATGGAATATCACATCTTGCTGTATTTCTTAACCTAAAACAAATCAGCAAGTCTTTCAGCAATGGTCCTTCGGGATCATTGATGCCAACACTATAAAGTGTTGAGAATTGAGTACCGCTCAAGCCGGTGCTAGGGGGCGTGAGGGATGTTGCACTTATTCATTATCCCTCATGTACAGACTCAATCAAACCGAGTCTGCAATTCTTATGTTATTTTGTTGTGATTAATGCTTCCGAGGGATCACTTTGTTTCCAGAATTTTGTACTTCACAACAGCAGGTGTCAAGTGCTGTGTGGCAGCCGTAAAAAGTTGCCCCGTACTTCACTTCAGTGTTGTTATATTTTCTGGTCCTTCGGGATCATTGATGCCAACACTATAAAGTGTTGAGAATTGAGTACCGCTCAAGCCGGTGCTAGGGGGCGTGAGGGATGTTGCACTTATTCATTATCCCTCATGTACAGACTCAATCAAACCGAGTCTGCAATTCTTATGTTATTTTGTTGTGATTAATGCTTCCGAGGGATCACTTTGTTTCCAGAATTTTGTACTTCACAACAGCAGGTGTCAAGTGCTGTGTGGCAGCTGTAAAAAGTTGCCCCGTACTTCACTTCAGTGTTGTTATATTTTCTGGTCCTTCGGGATCATTGATGCCAACACTATAAAGTGTTGAGAATTGAGTACCGCTCAAGCCGGTGCTAGGGGGCGTGAGGGATGTTGCACTTATTCATTATCCCTCATGTACAGACTCAATCAAACCGAGTCTGCAATTCTTATGTTATTTTGTTGTGATTAATGCTTCCGAGGGATCACTTTGTTTCCAGATTTTTATACTTCACAACAGCAGGTGTCAAGTGCTGTGTGGCAGCTGTAAAAAGTTGCCCCGTACTTCACTTCAGTGTTGTTATATTTTTCTGGTCCTTCGGGATCATTGATGCCAGCACTATTAAGTGTTGAGAATTGAGTACCGCTCAAGCCGGTGCTAGGGGGCGTGAGGGATGTTGCACTTATTCATTATCCCTCATGTACAGACTCAATCAAACCGAGTCTGCAATTCTTATGTTATTTTGTTGTGATTAATGCTTCCGAGGAATCACTTTGTTTCCAGAATTTTGTACTTCACAACAGCAGGTGTCAAGTGCCGTGTGGCAGCCGTAAAAAGTTGCCCTGTTCTTCACTTCAGTGTTGTTTATATTTTCTGGTCCTTCGGGATCATTGATGCCAACACTATAAAGTGTTGAGAATTGAGTACCGCTCAAGCCGGTGCTCGGGGGCGTGAGGGATGTTGCACTTATTCATTATCCCTCATGTACAGACTCAATCAAACCGAGTCTGCAATTCTTATGTTATTTTGTTGTGATTAATGCTTCCGAGGGATCACTTTGTTTCCAGAATTTTGACAGTCTATTGTTAGATAAACAAACCAGAGATGCACATACAATAATTATGAAGCAGTACGAAACGAGGAAAATAAATGCAATCTTATTTTGTCTAAATACAATACATTATCTAATATTTCAGCTGTCATAATCTTGTTAAAATTTAAACTTACAATAAGTATTTTTTATTGATTCATATATGTTTTGCATGGTACTGAAATTATCATTTTTTGGAATAAAAGAGCTTTATGACAAGTTTTACCAGATTCACAATGGACGCCTTCGTAACCATCTTTACACGTGCATGTGTACCTATTGACGTCATCAACACATTCGGCGTTATTTTGACATGGGCTTGATTGACATTCATTCACATCTTAAAAACGTTTAAAGAACACAATTGATGTACATAGAAACATAATTATAATAAAGTGTAAAAGCCTAAAACTTTGTGTTAGATGAAATAATAATGAAATGATTATTCTTGTATGATATTAAATAATCACCACTAAAATTAAACTAATCAATGATCCAAGGGAAAGCGGAAAAATAAAATTATATTTAGATGAAGTATGGGTAACAATTTACATCTGACAAAATGCATCAAACTACCTGATTTTATAACGTACAAATTAAATGTAATGAGCACATTTGTTTATTTGGGAAAGTGAATTCATTTCTATGACAAAGTACGAATGTTATAAATGTTTTCTAAATTATATCAAACTGTCGAACTTTTCAACCATTATTTACACCAGTGGAATATAAAAACAGTTCAAACACAGTGTTGCTGTTTATATGACCAGATATTATACAGCATAATCAACTTTAATTATTGCTTACCAATTTCACAGTTGGTTCCGGTGTAGCCATCTTCGCATGTACACTCGTAATTGTTCACAAGATCAATACACGTGCCTTCATGACGACAAGGATTGGTCACACATTCGTCAATGTCTGTAATGATTATTTGTTCTTTAAGAAACAATACAATAAATAACTATCTTACCTCTTGTTATAAATGTGTATTCAGTTGTTCTATTTCACCTATAGAAGTAGTACAGAACAAGGACTGCCAGTGCATACCTCTCTGTTATGACTTTTCAAAACATTTAATTTTTTTTAAGAAAAGGAACAATAATATAAGTAATCAAACATATTGGAAATAACGTATTACTAGTACATATCAATTAAATTTCAAAGACCATATTCACTATAAGCACTTTGAATTTGAAATTATCTACTTTTTTCTTATTTACAATTTTTAAATTTCAAGTCTCTGCCTAGTAACAATTAATTTACCTATTTCACAATTTATGCCTTTGTATCCATCTTTACACTTACAACTATACTTATCAACTTCGTCGATGCATTCAGCTCCATTCTGGCACGAATTAGATTCACATTCATTTATTTCTGGTAATAAAAATAAGCGTAATCTATTACGTTATGAGTTAATAAGACTTAAAGCACATCGCCATACAAGGATATATATCAAATGATTGTATAACATTGGCTCCGATCAAAATAAGTTGCATAACAGACCAATAAGCGATCGTTAAGTTCCTCCTATATTTACTTCATTTAAAAAACAAACAACTTCTATTAGTTTGAAATTTGAGACAAAATAACGATGTATCTTTATGGTGCATTCAAACGACAGATGTGGTACATGAGTAACTACTTGCAATTAAATATGACCATAATATGTAAATCGTTAATGGCATATTTTTAGATAAGTAAATTGTTAAAGCAATATCAAGTAAATCAATAAACGAGTTTGCTGCGTTAATTTGATAAGTTAATTGATTACCATTTTCACAGTTGTTTCCGCTGTAGCCACTTACACATTTACACTCGTAACGGTTTACAAGATCAACGCACGTGCCTCCATGACGACATGGATTTGATGAACATTCGTCAATGTCTGAAATACATAACAACAACAGTATGTGTAATTCTTATTTAAGAACAATAGGATTTATTGAATATCATCACGCTGTCTACGAAAAACACCTGTCAGTTTATCATCGGATTTCAGAACCGCATTTAAAATTGCATGAGTTTACATTTACAGACACACTAGAGATAATAAAACAAAATAAGCAATTCTATATGTTTTTCTGATTTTAAAAGAAGACAAATAAATACTTTTCATTAACGCTTTATGAACATTCATCAATATCTGAAATACACAACAACAATCCTGTTTATTTTTCTGACTTTGGGACAACACAAATAAATAAATTTTATAACACTTTATGAATTCTAGAGAGTAGAAAACAGACGATGGGAACTTCTGTCAGTTTATCTTCCCATCTAACTTATCCTTTTTACTCATCATATCACCGTATTTTAGTTCCAATACGTACTAGTGTACGTTCAAGAGAATTAAAATAAATAAATAAATGTAAACAAAAACACAAAAAGTGCCATAGAATCAAAGTGATTTCACAAATAAAATGACACAATCAGGAAATCTTTTCCCTAAATTACAGATAATATTAAATACTAATTCAAAATTTCAGACATGACTGAATAACTGCTTATTTACCTATTTCACAATTGATGCCTTCATATCCATCTTTACACTTACAACTATACATATCAATTTCGTCAATGCATTCAGCTCCATTCTGACATGGACTAGATTCACATTCATTTATTTCTATAAAGAAAAATTAGATTACTACAGTGAGTTATGAGTTATTGCAAAAACAAACATTGTAAAAATATGCATTTATACAATGATCGCAAAATCCAGGCTCATATATACTTCTGAATCAGTTGTAACACAAACCAATTAGCGATCGTTTTCATTAAAACAAAATAAAAAATGTATCTATGTGATATTTTCGAATGATATAATTGGTACGTTGCAGACTCAATATTACCTCAATCTCCGTCTAATTAGAGATCCCTTAGTCACAAAGGTACATAATATTTACTTCATTTGAAAAATTATTGTTGAATTTTGAAATGAGCTTAATCGATAAAGAAATAAGCTAAATCGGTGGTAGTCTTAAACGATATATTTATATGATATATAAAGATGACAAATGCTCGTTATTTTATAATTTGCATACCCAAAATTGCTTGCAATTGTTTAAGATATACTTTTATACGAATATCGTGTAATCTATTTCAAGTGGATCAGCATGCAATTTTGCTGTACTTATGTGATAAGTTAATTTGGAACGTACCAATTTCACAGTTGTTTCCGTTATAACCATTCACACATTTACACTCGTAACGGTTTACAAGATCAACGCACGTGCCTCCATGACGACATGGATCTGTTGAACATTCATCAATGTCTGAAAATACACAACAACAATATATTTGTTTTTTTCTGATATGAGGAGAACACAAATAAACAAATTTCAAGACACGATATCATTTTTAGAGATGTTGACTGATACTGAAGAAAAAAGACGTTTGACACTTTTGTCAGTTCATCGCCCCCATTTAACTTTTCATCTACAATTTCACCGTAACTTTAATACGTATAATTGTATGATTGGGAGAATAAAATTTAAGGTATTATCATCCTAATGCATTACCTCCGCTTTGAAGAGTATTCAAATAGGCTAGAACTACTGTCAACTACATTGACAATGAGGGCTGTGGGTTCAATCCCAAGAAGAGTTAAAGATTTTTTTCTTCTTTTTTTTTCTTTTAACATTATTTATGTATCTCTCATCTCCAATTTTGAAAGAAAAACGTGTTTAATTTTGATTTTTTAAATTTATATAGGTATGTATTGGCTAAATTATGCTTAATCTAGTAATAAATATGGTACCTGATATTTTCAAAGTGTAATAAAATCAAAACTAGACGGTATAAGTATTTCATATTTAACAAGATCAACCAATATACTTCTTAAGAAATTTATGGAAACTTTGAAAACAGGCATTCATTTGAGTAAATTTTAAGGATTTTCTAAATTAGGCTCCTTAAGTAAGAAAATGGTCGGTCAGACACATGGTAAAAATGAGTGGGGTAGGGTAACATTTTTATACAGATTTCATAAATTCTAAGTAGAAACCATAATTTTGCTTATGTGGATTGTTAGCTGAATAGTACTACTTGTTTCTTACCAAAAATTAATGGGAAAACATTTTTCATTAGAATGTAATTGCAGATTATTTAAAGGTTCCTCATTTTTTTAAAAAGGGCCCTCATAACATCCTAGCTTGAGTTCAGAAAAGTGGCCATACCTTGATTTCCGAACGGTAAACTTTGTTTAAATTTTGCATACAGGTGTACTTTAAGGTATATTTCTGACCTATGATATAAATTTTCCATTAGGTTGGTAGTACCTTAATAAATTCAAATAAAGTAAAATAATAAATACCAGAATACTAAAAATATATCTGAGTTCAGTTAAAATGGCACAATCTGGAAATAATTCCAACTAAAGGGGACACAAAAATACCAATAGTAATTCAAATGTTCAGACATCACTGAATAATTGCCTTAACATTATTTACAATGAGCTATATTCAAATGAAATCATTTTTAGATTTATATTAACAACTCGTGTGTTAAATCCCTGCCTTAGCACATTACATTTACCTATTTCACAGTTGATGCCTTCGTATCCATCTTTACATGTACAACTGTACATATCAATTTTGTCGACACATTCAGCTTCATTCCGACACGGATTAGAGTCACATTCATTTATTTCTATAAAGACAAATTAGATATCTACCCTGATACATAAATACTTCTTTTGAACTATTTATTTTTTATTTCGTATTTCGAAACAAGCTTATTGGATTTACATCTTAAGCGATACATGCTATTTTCGAATGACCAGCCATCGTTATTTTACTATTTGCATTATCAAAATTACTCAAATCTTTCAAGTATTCAAGAAATACATTTAAATGTATACCGTGCAAACACTTTAATGTCAATATGCAATTTTGCTATGTTAATTTGATACATTAATTGTGTACCAGTTTCACAGTTGTTTCCATTATAGCCGTTCACACATTTACACTCATAATGGTTCAAAAGATCAACGCACGTGCCTCCGTGACGACATGGATCTGCTGAACATTCGTCAATGTCTGAAATACACAAAAATAACAACATCATCAACAACAACAATAACAACAGTATGTGTAATTCTTAATTTCGAACAAAAATAATTATTAAATATCATCAAGCTATCTACTTTGTTAAAGCTGTTGTCCTAAAACTGTAGAAAACAACACATGGAAACACCTGTTAGTTTATCATACGATATCAGAAGCGGATTTTACATTGCATGAGTTTACATTCACAAATGAAAAATATTGCGAAAAAAAATCCAGATGGCTTGTTTTCCATTTATAAATGATACAGAAATAAATTAATCTAATATTACATATACAACTACATTTTGCTTCAAAATATTTATAACAAACAATAAAAAAATCAAACTGTTTCAGATTTCTATACGTACAATTAATGCGTTAACGTTACTACATAATCAAAATACATTTACCTATTTCACAATTAATGCCTTCGTATCCATCTTTACACGTACAAATATAGCTATCAACATTGTCGACGCATTCAGCTCCATTCTTACACGGACTAGATTCACATTCATTTATTTCTGAGAAAATAAATAAGCTATGCATCAATAAATCAGTAGTTTCACAAGAAATCATACAAATATATAAATCATATATATAATTATATGTTAATCTGGGCACTTATCTAGCTTTGTGTATTGATAATCCCGCCTTAAAAAGATCGATTCATATGAAAAGTACTATTTTTCTTCAATGACGGTATATTTGAATGGCGAATATGGTTCTTTAACTTACTATTTGCATATTAAAATGAATTCGTTCCATATACACATACGTAAATGCTGCCGTTGTGAAACTGATCAGTTTGTAATACCAGTATTTGACAAACACTTACAAGTAGATCTACATACTTTTTTATTGTGCTATATTGATCAGTAAAATTGATGGTTACCAGTTTCACAGATGGTTCCGGTGTAGCCATCTACACATTTACACTGGTACTCGTTCACAAGATCAACGCACGTGCCTCCATGACGACATGGATCTGGTAAACATTCATCAATGTCTGAAAATACATAAAAGTAGCATTGTAATATCTGATTTCAGAACAACACATGGTGAAAATATTTCATAATTCTTTGTAAACGGCTTCTGGGTTTGTTCAAAATATTTAGAACAAACAATAAAAAAATCAAACTGTTTCAGATTTCTATACGTACAATTAATGCGTTAACGTTACTGCATATTCAAAAGACATTTACCTATTTCACAATTAATGCCTTCGTATCCATCTGTACACGTACAAAGAAAGCTATCAACATTGTCGACGCATTCAGCTCCATTCTGACACGGACTAGATTCGCATTCATTTATTCCTGGGAAAATAAATAAGTAATGCATCAATAAATCAGTAGTTTCACAACAAATCATACAAATATATAAATCATATATATATAATTATATGTTATTTTAGGCACTTATCTAGCTTTGTGTATTGATAATCCCGCCTTAAAAAGATCGATTCATATGAAAAGAACTATTTTTCGTCAATGACGATATATCTGAATGGCGGATATGGTTCTTTAACTTATTATTTGCATATTTAAATAAATTCATTCCATATATACATATGTAAATGCTGCCGTTGTGAAACTGATCAATTTGTAATACCAGTATTTGACAAACACTTACAAGTAGATCTACATACTTTTTTATTGTGCTATATTGATCAGTAAAATTGATGGTTACCAGTTTCACAGTTGGTTCCGGTGTAGCCATCTACACATTTACACTGGTACTCGTTCACAAGATCAACGCACGTGCCTCCATGACGACATGGATCTGGTAAACATTCATCAATGTCTGAAAATACATAAAAGTAGCATTGTAATATCTGATTTCAGAACAACACATGGTGAAAATATTTCATAATTCTTTGTAAACGGCTTCTGGGTTTGTTCAAAATATTTAGAACAAACAATAAAAAATTCAAACTGTTTCAGATTTCTTTACGTACAATTAATGCGTTAACGTTACTGCATAATCAGAAGACATTTACCTATTTCACAATTAATGCCTTCGTATCCATCTTTACACGTACAAATATAGCTATCAACATTGTCGCCGCATTCAGCTCCATTCTGACACGGACTAGATTCACATTCATTTAATTCTGGGAAAATAAATAAGTAATGCGTCAATAAATCAGTAGTTTCACAAAACCATACAAATATATAAATTACATATATAATTATATGTTATTCTGCTCACTTATCTAGCTTTGTTAAATAATAATCCCCCCTTGAAAAGATCGATTAATATGAAAAGTACTATTTTTCCACAATGACGATATATTTGAATGGCGGATATGGTTCTTTAACTTACTATTTGCAAATTAAAATGAATTCGTTCCATATATACATACGTAAATGCTGCCGTTCTGAAACTTGTCAGTTTGAAATACTGGTATTTGACAAACACAACTAGATCTACATACATTTTTATTGTGCTATATTGATCAGTAAAATTGATGGTTACCAGTTTCACAGTTGGTTCCGGTGTAGCCATCTACACATTTACACTGGTACTCGTTCACAAGATCAACGCACGTGCCTCCATGACGACATGGATCTAGTAAACATTCATCAATGTCTGAAAATACATAAAAGTAGCATTGTAATATCTGATTTCAGAACAACACATGGTGAAAATATTTCATAGTTCTTTGTAAACGGCTTCTGGGTTTGTTCAAAATATTTAGAACAAACAATAAAAAATTCAAACTGTTTCAGATTTCTATACGTACAATTAATGCGTTAACGTTACTGCATAATCAAAAGACATTTACCTATTTCACAATTAATGCCTTCGTATCCATCTTTACACGTACAAATATAGCTATCAACATTGTCGGCCGCATTCAGCTCCATTCTGACACGGACTAGATTCGCATTCATTTATTTCTGGGAAAATAAATAAGTAATGCATCAATAAATCAGTAGTTTCACAAAAACATACAAATATATAAATTATATATATAATTATATGTTATTCTGCTCACTTATCTAGCTTTGTTAAATAATAATCCCCCCTTCAAAAGATCGATTCATATGAAAAGTACTATTTTTTCTTCAATGACGATATATTTGAATGGCGGATATGATTCCTTTATTTACTATTTGCATATTAAAATGAATTCGTTCTATATATACATAAATGCTGCCGTTGTGATTTGTGAAACAGATCAGTTTAAATTACCGGTATTTGACAAAAACTTACAAGTAGATCTACATACATTTTTATTGTGCTAAATTGATCAGTAAAAATAATTATTTTTATAGTTACCAGTTTCACAGTTGGTTCCGTTGTAGCCATCTACACATTTACACTGGTACTCGTTCATAAGATCAACGCACGTGCCTCCATGACGACATGGATCTGGTAAACATTCGTCAATATCTAAAATACACAACGTCAGCGTTGTTGTTATATCTAATTCAAGAGCCCCACCGGGTGAAAATATTTAATAATTCTTTATAAACGGCTTTTGGGTATTTTACTTTACAACAGCAAAAAGCAGAAGGTAAATACGACACTGATATTGACAACTGTATGATAGATCATTAAAATACAAAATGAATATAAAAAGTAAAAACAATGAAAGAAAGAACATATATTTTTACATATACTTGATACATCGATTCACTAGTAGAAATCAAACTGTTATGAAAAAAGAAAGAAAGAACATAGATTTTCTCATATACTTGATACATCTATTCACTAGTAGAAATACAATCAAACTATTGACAATAAGCAATTGTAAATTGAAAGTATCTGAAATTTTAATGAGTTACGTTTTTGTTAAACTTACCTATTTCACAAAAGCTGCCTTTGTATCCATCTTTACAAGTACAACTGTAGCTATTAATTTTATCGATACATTCAGCTCCATTTTGACACGGATTGGATTGACATTCATCTATTTCTGGGAATTAAATTGGTTATGCGAAATAAATCAGTAGTTGCACATAATATCATATAAATATATAAATTTAATAATTGTGTATTGATATATTTGAATGGTGGATATGGTACATTAATTTACTATTTGCAGATTAATATGACGTTATTTTGCTGTTTGTTCCTGAAATATGCTTCGATGTATGATATATGAGTCAAAAGATTTATCAATCCATAGAAGAAAAGAAATATGTATGGAATAATTACACCATCGTAAATTCTTAATTTTTACAAATTATTACGCTTCTTTATATTTTTTATGTTTTTTTACGGAATGAAAACCGTCTTCTTTTCATCACTGTCTCTCTAATGTCATTAAAACAAATTCTCTCTATCATGTTTTAGATTGTGATATATTCGAAAAATATAATAGCGGGAAATAGTACGTCCAAATCGACAAAAGGCTCCATTTAATTAAACTTGTTTAGGGACGTTACTGGAAATTGCAAATAAGTTACTTTTATCGCCCCTAGCCCCAGCTTAAACATATTTCAACTTTAATCATAGTAATGGTGAAATATTGGTAAAAGGCAAATATATTTAATATACTTTTTAAGTTCTTATTATTAACAAATCTACCTATTTTACAGTCAATTCCTTCATATCCATTACTGCACGTACAAGTGTATCCATTGACTTCATCAATACATTCAGCATCATTGTAGCACGGGTTGGATATACATTCGTCAATGTCTGACAAATAGAATAGTTAAGTGGTAAAACTTGTTATGGAGCAGATAGTCTTATCTATTTATATTTTTTGATGAAGGATAACTGCAGGCGAGGGGCTGGGTTGACAAATAGAATAAGAAACATAAAAACAGTTTTATGGAATGGACAATCTAATTTGTTTTGGCTTTTTTAATGATGAAAAGCTGCAGGCAAGGGGGACTCTTCTGTATCAAACTTCCCAGACGATATGCGGTTACCTAATAGGACTATGTTTGTAATGTTTTGAGCCAAGTATTTATTAGTATCATGTAATATGTGTCTCTACAGATGAGTTGTGAAGAGACAAAAGACTATATTTGATACTGTATAGCGCATTATAATATATCTGCGGTGTCAAATGTTGGCGTTTTTTAAAGTGTTTTGAATTGGCGGGGTCATAAATTGGCGCAAACGCTTTTAGACCACCAAATTAAAACACTTGTTGGCATAAATATGGGGTCATGAATTGGCGATTACAAATAAAGAATAAAAAATAAATAAAAATAACACCGGTCACGCAGTAGTTGACTGTCCTCGTTTATTTTATGGCATACGGTATACCTATGCTTGGTCACCTTTATCTTTACATCGTGCTAATTCTGAACGATTTTAATAAAAACATGAACTATTTTTGTTATTATTTGCATCGTGATTAGAGAGATGTTTCTCAAATGAATAGGAATAACATTAGCACGAGCAATTTGTTGAGCTGATATCACAAATATTTTGCTATTTATAGGTATATATAGGCGCCACTAAACCATGTATCATTGTCAAGGCTGTTTCTAAACTAGCCACAAAGCCCGACATCATTGCCGAGTCTTTCTCTAAGGCAGGACTATAAATTTCGTTAAGTAATTAGATGTACAAAGTGTTACATGATTCCATATCTGGTTTTTATATGACATTTAGATTTGTTTCTCGTCGTGTGATCATCTTCGTAATAAATACAGTATATAGATATATAATTAAATGAGTTTCGTACCAAGACTTAAAAATAAACAAATTCTTTTCAGCTTACTTGTAATGTTTATTTTTATTACAAATAATCAAGGGAGATTACTCGGACAAAACCAAAGCTATTTTACCATGAGTTGTCTACCTTTCAAAGAATAATGGCGATGATCTAAAATGGCGGTGTTTTGAATTGGCGCTACTGACCCTGACCGCCAATATAGCCAAATATAAACCCCCGCCAAAATAAGTACTTATACAGTACGTAATTTCATTTGTTAATCAAACTTGATGTGAAAATGTTGCTATAAGACTATAAAAGCAAGCATTTATACTTGTACATGTATTATAATTACCTGTTTCACAATGAATGCCTGTGAAGCCATCTTTACAAGTACATTGATAAAGATTGACTTCGTCGATGCACTTTACCTCGTTCTTACACGGATTGGACAGACACTCATTTATATCTGACAATTGAACATAAAAAATATGATAAATGAATACAGGAATTCATATATCTATAACTAAGGGGATCTACTTGATGGAATGATATATATTAAACATTAAAATCGTACAATCAAAATGACATTATGTCATATTATTATTGTTACATGTATTTTTTTAAGTAAACACATACAAAAAGATTATGAATTCAAACAATTTCTTTCATTGGTAGATTTCTAACTGATGCTATAGCCAACAATAACCGCAATCACTCTGCGTATTCATCCTGGTAATATATATATAGAGCAAGTTAAATAATAAACAGTTCAGTTCAATATTGTCATTTTAAATTTCAGGTGAATAGGTTTTTCATATTCTAAAATAGTGTTCAGTTATCTACGCATTTATATTCATATTTTTATTGCACATATATGATTGATCTTTATTTAAGGCTACAAAATTTTAACTGAAAATGTTATTGCACAAGCAAGCCTGCGTTCATCAATCCATTTCAAAGATCAATTTCAATTGATACCTGTTTCACAATGGACGCCCGTGTAGCCATCTGGACAACCGCATGAATATTTATTGACATCATCAATGCATTTGCCTCCGTTACGACACGGATTGGAGTGACAATCATTAATATCTGTAGACGTAAAATATAACATCCGTTAATTAAGCCAAACAATAGCTAAGATGACATTAAAGTTTATTTGCGTAAAACATATTTGTTTCTCATATCAGAACTGTAAAAGGAACTTATGCAATTTTAAAGCATAAGTCAATACATCATTTAAGCTGTAGATCTTAAATAAACATAAAGTTGATGCAGAAATGAAACTGGAGACAAATTAAGCACAACGCATATGTATCAGTTGAAATAAATATATAAAGTATTTACAATCCATATGTTTATGTTCATAAAATGCCTCTATATTTATTTTTATTAACTTCCATCATTATCCGTTATTTACGTAGTATATGCCTATTTTCTGACAAATGGGCAAAAGTATTGTTTGTATACCATATATCATTTAGCCACACGTCTGTTTTATTAAGACAATCTAGAGTTTGGTTACTTGCTGCTTAAATGTTACCTACAGAATTTAACCTAAGAGCAAGGAAAGTCAAGATAAATAACCCAAAAAATTGAAAGTTTTAGACTCACTAAAATGAAATTTAGTTGTAGTATTGTTACAAACTTATGACGTTGTAATGTTGTACATGTACATAACAAATTTACTTTTCCGTTTTTGGTTTGTCAAATGAAATGAATTAATCGCATTAAATTATTCAAAACAAATAATTTGTTCTGCATTGTCTCCCGTAATTCACATATAGGTATCGTTTACATTTTAAACGATGAATGTCACTAGTATTTGATGGACTGAATTGTGCTAATGGATTTTCATCATTGTAAAATGAATTAATTTGTTCAAAGGTCAACAAAACTAAAATGAACTATTTAGTAAACTGTTATACGAGTCCTTAATGGGGAATATTTTCTTTAAAAAACATTTTTAAGTATAGTTTGTTTATAATTTGTCTTTACAGTGGGTAATTCTTAAAGCAGTTTGCCTCCAGATTCATTCTAATTTTCATGAAAATTTTGAAAATGTATTTAAAAGTAAAATATTGTGAATTGAACAAAGAAAGTAATTTACACATTGCAAACGGCACTTACAATCCACGTAAATTACCAAAAAGAGATGTCAAAATATACATAAAAACCTCTTACAGCGTTAGTAACGCAGTAGAATTATAGTGATTGATACTGCACAATCAGTCATAAATCGCACATAATATGTAAATAATTCATTAAATGTTGAATCTTTTTTCTTTTCTGAAGATCTTAATACATTTTTCTTAAGATTGAATTTCTTGAAATATTTTTTTTTGCTCATCATGAGGCGTTCAGATTTAATTCCGGGGTGGTCGTTTGTATGTTTTTTTTTACTGTATTACAATTAAGCCTAATAATGACTTGAACACATACCTGTTTCACAATGGTCACCCATATAGCCATATTTACACGAGCATGAATATTGGTTGACTTGATCTACACATTCGGCGTCATTTTGACACGGGTTAGATTCGCACTCATCTATATCTTAAATAAACATATATAAAATACGTTTTCTTTTTTCATTAAATCTTAACAAATTTGCGTATCAACGATTGCGTATTAACGTTGCAAAATCGAACAGATTCGTTAAGTCTATTTGATTTTGTAAATGTTTCTAAATTCTAAATGTTCATGTCCACGTCCAAATATCGGACTTTGTTGAAGCCAGAGATTGGGCGGCGCAGGTGGTAGTTCGGTCGGTTCATTCTGACTTTATTATATTAATGTATTAAATGAAAGACAAGTTCCTTAAGATAAAAGGAATCAAATTGGGGGAAGGGGCATGTTGTTCCAGCAGGTAATTGCTTATTTTGAGATAAACAAAAGAGATTTCTTTTTTCAGTTTCTGGCAAAGTTGATAAGGAATAAGGAATATCTTTTAAACTTTATTATAGCAATATCAATGAATTCAATGAATGACAAATTCTTTAAAGATAACTTTAAGATAACGGGAATCAAGCGAGGGATGGGAGGCTTATTCGTATGTTTTCTCAGAAGGGCACTTCTTCATTTGAATGATATAGAATTTTCATTTTGTCTTTTGCAATTTTAGGAGGCATAGGATTACACTTATAGCATATGACAAAGTTAATTATTTACATATCATGCTATTAAATAGGGATGGTAAATCGGTGCTTTATAATGCTTACTTGTCTCGCAATGGATGCCAGAAAAGCCATCTTGACACGTACATGAATATTGATTGACACCATCTATGCAAAGTGCATCATTTTGGCATGGGCTGGATTTACACTCATCTATGTCTGTAAATGTAACAAACAGTTATCTAGATATGCAAATAATAGAGCAGAGAAAATTATGCATTTAGTTCAGACATGTTACTAAATGGTGACAAAGAGGCAATATCAAGAACATGTTGCTCTATGCTGTATGACATGTTTCAATATGCTCAAAACCATCACCCTATTATAAGAGATGAAAATGAATTAAATATATATAGTGTAAAAAGTAATTGTGATGCATACCTATTTCACAATGTGTGCCCGTGTAGCCTTCTTTACAAGTACACGAATATTGATTCACGTCATCTTTACATTCGGCTTCATTCTGGCAGGGATTTGATTGGCACTCGTTTATATCTAATAATATTTCATAAAAAAACTGGTGAGAAGACAATTTTTGCATTCACCAATGTTGTCTTTGTCGGAATATATCTGCGTTGATCTTTAGAGAAGAAATTTGTTAAAATATTAACATCAAATCAATCCGTCAATTTTCTTTAAATTGTAGGACTATTGTGACATTAACCACTGAAATTGTGTAACATTCTGCTGTGTTTGTCGCCTAATGTTACGTATACTTGTTAAGCAATGTTTTACATATAAAATAATAATTATTGCCATTATCGATGCTTCTTAATCATTTTATCATCTTGTAAGCTTGACTTTTAATTCATACACACTTATACACATCTGACAATGTGAAAACAGAATTTTGATTACAATTATTCATACCTGTTTCACAATGATATCCCTCGTAACCATCTTTACACGTGCATGAATATTGATTGATACCATCTATACACTTGGCTTCGTTCAAACAAGGGTTCGATTCACACTCATTTATATCTTATGAAGGTAAAACATACATAGATTTTTTAAAAATATATATATTTTTTATGTCGATCTGGATTTCAAAAAATTTCAAAAACAATACAAATTTAACGGACCTATAAATTAATGAATTATAATCCGGTGCTATACCTGTTTCACAATGGGAACCTGTGTAGCCGTCTTTACAAATACATGTATACTGATTGACTTCGTCAACACACTCGGCGTCGTTCTTACACGGGTCGGATTGGCACTCATTCATTTCTAAAAATGAGTGACAGACATACAGTCATTAAAAATTATGAATCAAACTATTTTAGCCCTAAATAATAATCTCAGGGTACTTTGGTATAATTTAGTGTTAAGTGATTTAAATTAATTGCACACACGATGTTAATACAAATATGTGCATCTCGAAATAATGTTCAAATGTATTGAAACGTATGGTCGGGTTTTTAACATGAACGGAGCATTTAAGAATAATTTGTTTTACTTATAAGTTCATAAAACCGTATATATTACTGATAATAGTAAGTAAAATATTTGTATTTTTTAAATAAATTGTACATGTCAGTTTTGTGTTCTAATCTTCTGGACACCAGATCCTCTAAGTCAATCTGACCTCGTAGATATTTTAGTTACATACCGTTATTTTTTACTAAAGTTAATGAAAAAATATATATAATTCGGTTGCGATGCATACCTGTTTCACAACGGACGCCTGTGTATCCATCTTTACACGTACATGAATATTGGTTAACTTCATCGATGCATTCGGCTTCGTTCTGACATGGGTTGGATTGACATTCATTTATATCTGACAATGTCAATTAAAATAAGTATAAAATAACTGTCTTAAAAATTATCAGTTTAACACCCTATATTGCATTTTTATGAGATAATGTGAGGTATATCTAAAACTTGTATTATACAAGAGTCTTTAAGAAAAAAAATCACAATTAGAAGTTATTTAAGCTGTGTGGATCTATAAATAAACAGTTAACAAATGAAACAAAATAACATGTTTGTATTCGTTTTAAATTTATTAACGGACAACAATATTAATTAGTTTAGTAGTGCAATAAAAAGTTTTTGCATTTTTATATATTATAATATATTACGATACATACCTGTTTCACAATGGGTACTCGTGAAAGCAGCTTTATTTTTATAAAAGAATATTGTTTGGACATTAAATTTGCATTCGGTTTCATTTGACATGGACTCGATGACACCTTTTTATGTCTTTTGGGAAAAAAAACCCAAAAACATCAAAAAAAATTTGAAAAAAATTTTCAACAAAAACAATAAAACCGTTCGACAGCTTTTTTCAAAGTTTTTTATAGAAAAATCCTTAAATGATAAAATAAACAAATGGCGTTATTTTTCTTTAATATTTCACAATGTGTCCCAAAGTGAAAACCAGCTGTCACGTACATAATTTTTTGAAATTCAGCGTCTTCCCTGAAAAGGGATTTGACTGACATTTATTTAATCTGGTTTTTGAAAAACAGAAATAATTTTTTTGGAATCTTCTCCCCCAGGATGGGAATTGCAACATTCTGACATGTGTTCTATTGATTGTATGTGATAATTTATAAAATAAAATATAAAGAAACTAGCCCAAACCAAATTTACAGAACTCAAAAAAAATACACGATGTTTTCAAAATTTTAAAAAAATTTTTACGGGCCCGTCACAAATTTTTTTAAAAAAATTTTAAAAACCAAATCGCGTTTCATTTGTGAAAAAAATGGGAAAATAAAAAAGTACTAAAAACCATTTTTTATTGACGGATTGTGTTTCTAATTTATTTTGTAGATTCTCGGACTTATCTTACAAGAGTAATAATATTACAAGGCCGTGATTGATACATTTTGTTGTAAATGTGCTGTATTTTATTTAAGAAATTTAACCAATTCATTATGATTGAATAAATAATTAAATTGATAAGTATGACAACAAGTGATGCTTACTTGTTTCACAATGGATGCCCGTGTATCCATCTTTGCACGAACATGAATATTGATTGACGTCATCAATGCATTGTGCTTCATTTTGACACGGGTTTGATTGACATTCATCTATGTCTATTTATGTATACGATTTATAATTGTGAAATTAACTGTATTGAGGAAAATACTGGGTACTTGTAAAACATATTTGAATTCCTTTAAATAAAGCACACATCAAAAGCAATTACAATTATTTTGATAAAGGAACATACACTTTACAAAAAATAATGGAATAAACTCTTGTTAGATTTTATGTTAAATTATCCATCAAATTTGACAAAGCCTCTACATAAATGGTATTCAAGTCAAATTAGATATTAATTGATATTACGATACCTACTTGTTTCACAGTTGGTTCCGGTGTAGCCATCTTTACACGAACATGAATATTGATTGACCTCGTTTCTACATTCGGCTTCATTCTGACATGGATTCGATTGACACTCGTCTATATCTAATGAAAAAAGAGTAATGAAATTAGAATTTAATGCCTCCATCCTATGTTTTGTTTTACGGATACGTTTTTACTCCTACAGTATTATATTAATAGGTTATAAGGAAATGTGGATCTACCTGTTTCACAATGTGTTCCAGTGTAGCCTGCGTTACACGTACATGAATATTGGTTTACTTCATCCACGCACTGAGCATTATTCTGACAAGGACTCGATTGACACTCATTAACATCTGATAAAGTTAAACAAAAATACTGTTAAAAACCTCCTTTACGAAAAAATGTACAAAAGTAGTGCTTTTGAGCAACAAAACATACAAAACATTAAAGCATATTTACGTATTCAATCAAAATAGGAGGCACATTTTTCGAGATACAATCCGAAATGAAACAAAAAGTTATTTTAATTTAAAAAAAATATGTTGTATTGTTTATTTACTAGTTTCAGGATAACCTTTTAACGTATTTAGTTAAGCTCAACTAAAAATATGTACGTGGTCATATATTCATTATTTTCAAGTCCGATTCTTAGTTAGAACCATAACATGTGTCACATGACAAAATTATGCCGTGACCCGACTTAACAACTATGTTGAGCAATAGAAACGTTAAACATTACTTCTACCGCCTCCCTTTACATATGTCCATAATCTGGTACAAATTTCGCATGTACAATATGTTGTGCTTTATAGCGTATTGTATTCATTAGATTCCAAGTACATGTATATATGAATAAACCTAGTGCTATACCTTTTGATGATAGGAAATGTAAAAATTGTTTTATTTTGGAAGATGAATTTCACTTTATTTTAGAATGTTCTCTATATAATGAATTACGAAAAAAATATATAAAAAAACACTTTTGGAAAAGACCAAATATACCTAAATTTGTTACATTGATGAATTCAGACAATGAAATAGAAATTAGAAACTTATCAATGTATATATTTAAAGCTTTCGATGTTCGAAACACTATTCTTTATAGTTAATCAAAAGTTTGTCCCAAACGCTGTATAACTGTATCTTACATACACTTATTTTCGTTTTGTTTTGTGATTTACTTCCTTATTAATAGGATGGTATCTTTCCTTAGTATTTATTTACAAGTATATGAATTGAGACATGTTGATAGTATATTCTATTTATAGTTAACGTTTTCTGATTGCTAAAATACTGTGTAACTTAATGATATATGTTTTATAAAGTGTGACATTGACCATTTGATTGTATTGTATGCTTTGTTATATGTACTGTGTATGCATGGACATATTGTACAAATGTACTTTGAAATAAACTTGAAACTTGAAACTATATGAATTCAGTTCTAAGTCTAACTGAATTTATGAATATAAAAGATATGTAAATATTCCTACTTGTTTCACAATGAATGCCTGTGTAGCCAGCTTTACATGTGCATGAATACTGATTGACCTCGTCCACGCATTCGGCTTCATTCTGACACGGGTTCGATAGACATTCGTTTATATCTGATGATGTAAATTAATTTGTACATAATGTAATTGAAAGAAAAGCATCATGTTCCACACGTTTCGCCCTTGCGAAGGTGTGAAAGAAATAAAATCAGGTATGAAGTCTACAACAATGAAATAACCAGTTACTATGCTGTCCGGATATGTAGACAATAAATGAATACAATGAAATGAAATGGTCCTATATAAATAGTCTACAATATGTACTATAATGTTTTTTCTATTTAGATTCATTCAAGTACCTGTGTTACGATACCTACTTGTTTCACAATGGGTCCCGGTGTAGCCATCTTTACACGTACATGAATATTCATTCACTTTGTCAGTACAATCAGCTCCGTTCTGACATGGACTCGATTGACATTCGTCTATTTCTGATCACAATAGATAAGCACTCATACTGAACATTTTACCAACAAATAACGTGTCCTTCATAAGGTATATCCATATGTTTAATGTAATATATAGTAAAATATGAAGTCACGAATGTTAAAAATATACACAATACACAAGGATTGTGTTAGTTCATGTTTCACCATGTTTGCTAGTATAGCCAGCTTTACACGTACATGAATATTTATCACTTTGTAAGTACATTGGACTTTGGTCTGACAATTGATTCGACTGAACCCCATTCGCAATTTAAAAAGTATAGTCACCACAACTTGTTTAAAGAGTATTAAAACTTTAATAGTGTTCCCGTTCATGAGGTACTTTAAAAACTTGCAAATTTTAATAATCCCTGCAACGTATTATTGAAGAAACTTATTGGGGTAAAATTTATCTAACCCGTATAATCCCTGTTTCACCCTGTTCTTTCCCGCCAAATTGTGCTGCCCATTACACGTAACAGGAATCCAATTGGGAATTGACTTGGCATCGCATGCATTCAGCTTCTTCTGACCGGACTTGGACGGGACACTACAATCTATTATCTGATAATGCAAAAACAGATGAAATTACTAATTGGAAGACCTTACATAGGAATATTAACAGATAAAGCATCATAACATCAAATATATAAGATTCTTTTTAGAATAGAAAACATGCAAATACAAAGTAATGTATCTCTTTTTATTTTATTCCTGCTTCCAATAAAGACGAAATTCATAGAAATAGCAATTTCTGTAAAAAGAGAAATGTTCTTTTTTCTTCTTATTGAAGAAAATGTAGTTCTTTGCAGATTCTGGATTTTTCAAAAAAAGATAAAAATACATATATTAGAAATAAACATTGTAGATTCTGGATATTTTAAAACAGATCAGAAAACATAAATAGAAAATTAACAAAAATGATAGATGTAACAAACACTAATAAGATACATACTTGTTTCACAATGGCTACCCGTGTATCCATCTTTGCACGAACATGAATATTGATTGACTTCATCGATGCATTTGGCTTCATTCTGACACGGATTGGATTGACATTCATCTATGTCTAATAATGTTAATAAAAATGTCTGCATTAAGAAGAATTAAACTTTCTGTCCATTTAAATCGCCCTATATATAAATTTTCAAATAAGTTAAAACTTTGATTTTTATTCTAAAGATTGTATTTAACCTAAATATTAAAGATTAATATCACATTCACACACATCTTTGTTGGACAATTATACTAACAATAAATAATGAAATTGTGTTCCGATTTGCTCAAATAAGGGAATCAATACAAATTAAATTTAATTATTGAATCACGACACCTACTTGTTTCACAGTGGGTCCCGATGTACCCAGGTTTACACGTGCATGAATATTGATTGACATCATCTTTACATTCGGCTTCATTCTGACAGGGACTGGATTCACACTCATTTATATCTGAAAATATTATTAATTAATACTGACAAAACAGTCCTGATATTAAAACATATGTTCAAATTTTTTTACAACCAATAAACATCATTTATATCAACAAGAGCTGTCACCCAAGTCACGAATGCCCCCGAAAGGTTTCTTAAAAATGCAGGTATTATGAAAAGAAAAGAGAATGAAAGTAACTGATTGCTTAATATTGTTCTTTGTATTATTGAACATTCTGACAGGGACTGGATTCACATTCATTTATATCTGAAAATATCATCCATTTCTTATTCAGATTGTTTTTCAATAAATCACCATAATCAGCATCATCATTATCATTTTATCATTATAATTATCATTATTACTCTAGAAATTATAATTATCGTTATTATACAGCATTCTTTGCAAAGTGTTTTAAAACCAATATACATTGTACTTATGTATATCATCATATCGAAATCGAAGATAACATAATTAAAATACACATGACAATCATTCAATTATTATTGCAATGAATTTTATACATGTTTGATTTTCTTTTATGATATAGATACAACATCACTTTACACCTTTGAATTGCATTTTGGCACTTAGATTGATAAAACACAAACATTTAATACCTATTTCACAATGACTTCCATTATAGCCATCTGCGCATGTACATGTATAGAAATTGACAAAGTCTACACAAGTACCATTATGTTGACACGGGTATGGTACACAATCATTGATATCTAAGAAAAATCAAACAAAGACACTTAGTACCTCAGTACCATACAGGAATTGTATTATTGAATGTAAACGCATGTATGTGCCAACAATAATCTATACAAATGTAAATAACAAGCAGCATATATTTACAACATTATTGAAAGTAATTCTGTTGTTTTTTTTTAATTTTTAAAAAGATATTTGTTGGTATCATTTGTAAAATACCTTTTTTTTATACAATTTTTTGGGGTTTTGGGGGTTTGTCCAACAAACATTTGCGAATCGAAGCCAGGGGGTTCCCCCATCGAAACCTTAAAAATTGAATGTAAAAATTGGAAATTTTTTTTTTGATTAATTTTTTATTAGGTTTTTTTGCAGCAGTAAATTTGGGATAAATAAAATCCATAATTTTTTTATATTTCACAAATTTTGCCTTTTATCCCTTTCCTAAAGGGAACCCCATAGCCCGAAAAATTAGTACAGTTCCCCTTGAAAAGGGACAAACATTTTGTCAACCCCTTTTTAAAAGAAAAGGGTATATTGCTTTTTTCATTAATTAAATGTTTATCAAATTTGATGAAAAACTTTGTTAGATTAAAAAAAAGATAAAGAAAAAAGTCCTTTTTCACACTTAGTATAAGCAGATCAATCAAACATTTTTTTAAACTTCAAATTATTATTTTTTAAGTTTACCAGTATTGCACGTGGCGCCCCCATAGCCCATCCACACTGTGCAATTGTACCCATCGACCTGATTTACGCACGAACCCCCATTCGTACATGGCTGAGATAACACTTCGTCTATAATCTGAAAGAAAGCGGTAAATGTTTATTTTGTCAAATGTCGTACTGCAAAAGAAGTGATGATTGCTCTAATTAAATAACATAAAAGGTGTTGTGAACGTTATTACTCTAGGTTTGGGGTTGAACAATTTGAGTTGTCAAGAAAATGTTCCCGCTTTCTCTGACGTTTTGATCGTCTTTTACTTCCCGATATCTAGAATTTAACAGTGGGGACGCCGAGTGGTGTTTACAATATTATATTATGTACCTCTGCACGAGATACTACTACTTGTTGAGTACCCTTCCATCAGAAATACTTCAATAAGATAAATTACCGTTTATGACATCGGTTGACAGTTATTCCCTTTATTAAATCAAACCGATTATCCCTTTCAAACTGTCTTTTTGATATAAATTTTATATAAAACATACAGGTTTTTAAGAACAAAATTTAAAAGTATATAACCTGTTTCACAAACATCACCAGTGTAACCTTGTCTACAGTTGCAACTGAATCCATTCACTTTATCCACACACTCACCTCTAGTCCCGCATGGGTCTTCTGCACAATCGTCTATATCTGAAAACAATTTTCAACATACCTAACAAATCATCATCGTACCATGGTCCAATGTTGGAAAAGAAAATATTTCCAGCACTGCTCTAATCACGCATTTACCATGTGTTCACGTTGCAAATATTTGCTTTGTGTGTGTTTTAGTAAGTGAAAGGAAACTTAACTTAATGGTTAATATGGCAGGTCAGACCTCTATGAAATGTCAAATAACTGTGATCCTTTAGATATGTTTAATTAATGTTACCAGTTTCGCAGCTTTGGCCTTCATATCCAGCAGAGCAATTGCAAATATATCCGTTGACAACATCAACACACGTGCCATTATTCTTACAAGGAAGCGACAAACATTCATCTATATCTGAAAGTTTAAAAATAATCAAAGTTTACATGTCATACAGTATATCATACTCATTTATGACACATTGCAAATGTCACATTTAGAATAATGCGTTCTATCAAGACAGAAAATATTATACATTATTTAAAAGAAAATCAAGACCGTGAATTTACTGTGTAAAAACGACTGTATAAGGGCTTGCCGGCATATTTTCTTTTACCTAATTTCGTGGCATTTCGATTGTTAATACTATTACGATGAAAATCATAAAAATTAAGGGGCTACCTGTTTCGCAAGTACTTCCTGTATATTCCTGCAGTACAATCACATGCATGTTGGTTGTCACGATAGGCCACAAGTTCCTCCATTCAAACACTGGTTGTACCTCTGAAATACAGTGAAGCTAGTTATGTCAATGGCTAAATGATTGTTACAAATGAAAGCATAAGCTTTTATTGCATACAGATCAAGCCGGTGCAAGGGAGCGTGAGGGATGTTGCAAATTTTTCATTATCCCTCATGAACAGACTGAAACAAACCAGGTCCGCAATGTAATGTAATATATGAGCATGTATTTGAGACGCATTCTTCACAATATCTTAAATAATGACGTGGACACAAATTAACTAAATATATATTTTCCGAAAGTTGCTGAAAAAAAAAGCAAAAGCGGCTTCGGGTTTATTCGACATTATCCGGCATTAGTCGACATTTTTCGACTGATAAGGTTTTGTTATCCCTCAAGCAATTTTGTCAAAAGTGAAAAACATAATATATAAACATTTTGATTAAATTCCGAGCATTTATAACGCCCACCGCATGTTTATACGTCTATGAAAATATGTCAGTTTGATGCTGCCACTCAACTCAAAGAATAAGATGTTATTTCATTTCAACTGACTCGATAAATAAGAAACGGGTTTAAAATTGGTTTTAACAAATCTTTCTTTTTAAATATGTTTTAAAAAAATAAAAAAATTTATGTAACGGGGTTGCTATTAAGTAATGCAAAATTTCTTTGTAACCATAATTAAAGACCCATAAAAATTTATTTAAAGAATAGTTAATAAATGAAATAAAGAAGTACCTTTTCCATTTTTCGAGCTTTTTAAATTTTGAGTTACAAAAACATGACTTGTCATTGACATTTCCCCCTTCTAGAAACATGCCCCTTCGATAAAAAACAAAAGTTGCCCTTTTTAAAAATAAAAATTTAGATGTATTTTGTGAGAAAGGTTTAAAATTGTTTTTAGCATGCGAAAAGTAAAAAATTTTTGTGGATATTTAAAAATTGGGGACTGTACGGGATTGTTAACCCAGGAATAATTTGAAATCTACTAAAACACGTTAAATAAAAACCCTTGTTTTTTTAAAAACGCATTAAAGTGAATTTTACTATTGTTTCATTGTAAAGGGTTGGGAACCTTTAAAGGGATTTATTTTTTTCACCCTAAAACTTTGGGAAATGTTCATGAGGGAAAAAAAAATTCGTTTCCCAATTACTATTTCCCCCGGGGGGTTTTAAATCCCAAAGGAAAATCAACATGATTTAAATTTAAATTGTTTTTTTCTAATTTTGGTTTCAATAAATTTTTAAAAAATCCCAATTTAAAAAAAGGGGAGACTCATTTTAAGATTTTTCTTCAAAAAATTTATTATTTTTATGAAAAAAAAAACACCCAAATTGTTAAAAGGGAAAATTTAAAAAATCCCATTTTTTAAAACACGTATGTTTTCATCAATTTACCTTAAGAGTAACACATAATTTGTTCCATTTTATATTAAACATCATGACACGTTTGTATCATACACATAAACTGTTTGTGGATCTGCCAAAGTTGGGTTTTCCGTCATTGCTTGCGGAGAACCTATACACGTGAACATAGTCTGTCATTTCCGATAACAGCAATCTTCTTGTTTTCGGATGTTAAGCACCATGTGCCTGTGAAAATATCTTCATATCCGACCTTTTCTTTATATTCTCAAATAAAGTTTTTCTAGTGACCAGTTTTTATTTATCTGGAAATTTAAAACATTTAATAACAGTGAGGCGGAATAAAAACCTTAAGAACAAGTTTAAACTTTTAAAAAATATTGTTTCATTTTTTTCTGTATACATGTACATAATGAAAAGTAATATAAACTTGATCTTAGGAAAAATTCGTTAAAATGAATTTATGCACAATAAAATGGGCAAACTTCGAAAGAAAAACCTAAAATGTTATTATTGAAAAGTCTAGTTTGACAAATGTCTGGAAAGGGAGCAATGAAAGCCCAAATTATTTAAAATTATAACAATACAAAATATTTATGCAACATATGTTATTCCCCATGTCACGTATTTAAGCGTATTCAGATATTCAAAAAAAACTGACATATCGATCTTAGAAAGTTCTTCAACCATTGTATGTACTTCTGTAACAGATCGGCATCCCTGCTGATTAAAAAAAACAGACTTTTCAATCCATATAAATATGCACTAAATCTTGATTGAACGGAATGCAAAATTTCGGTTGATAAAGCCATTAAAAAACTTTAAAAACAAATAACATGACTGTATGGAATTACCCTGGAAATAAGATATTTGACAATAGAATCCATCAAAGATGTTATCTGTTCGAATAGTAAAACAAGTGCAGTCAGAAGAATTGGCTTTGTCACATTCCCCTCCACCTTGGATATCTTCTATCACCACAGGCACACGTAGATCATAACTGCAATCAGATCCCCTGTACCATGCTGTACAGTTACACTCACCTGGAAATTAAAAAGAAGTCGTCTTGCCAATATCAAAATTGTTTCTATTAACAATAGAGCGGAATTGATGACGTTGAACTCCCCGGTGACATTTTTTTTTTTGTTATTTATCAACGTTTCATTTAATTAAAAATAATATGAAACAGATTTTTTTATATAAATGTAACTTTAAATGTACAGATAAAGCTCATGAGTAGTATAATTTGAACAAGATAGGTTACATATTGAATCTAAAAATGAAACTAAAACAATCATAATATTCTCAAGAAAACAAATCATGTTATAGAAATATCGGAACGGAACAAGCATTCTTATATCTAATATTGTTGTAAACTGTATATTATTTTACACATAAACAAAAAAAAAGATTTATTAAAAAAGATCAAATACATCATAATATATCAATAATCACATTTTTCTCACTAAAATGACTTCCACTTTTATCTTTTTAAATGATGCAGGTTATATACATATGTATATATTATTATACGTGTATGTAGGAAATATTGGTACTGAAATAAGATGCAGCATTTTTGTTCTGTTGATATGGGATAAAATACAGCAAACCTGTGTCAAGACAAAATCCATTTCCACTGCAGTTTCCCACACATGTTTGTTTTAGGAAGATTTCAACTTCATCAGTTTTGTTTGCGACATAAATTATTTCCAAAACGTTTTTTATTGGTTAAAGCAAACAACAGCACACCGCCCAAGATTTTCGTTTGATTCCCGCTTTTATAAAAATTTATATATTTATTTCCTTGAAAAAATTTTCCAAAATAAAAAAATTTATTAAAAAAGAATAAAATATGAAACATTTGAAAAAAAAAATTTTCAATGTAAAAATGATTATAAATTAAACCTTACTAAAAAAACATTGCCCAATAATTTTTCCGGGTTTTTGCCTGCAGTTTTATCCGGCATTTCCCTGATGGCCGGACTAGAGTAAATTGACTCTCTACATATTGCGTCAGCTTCTTCAGTTGTTATATTAGTTTCTTCTGTACTTCGCTGAAAACATGGAATAGTATGATTGATATTATGTTACCGCAACTCTTATGTTTAAATCCATATTTCTCTTTTGATTTTGGATATAAAAATAGAAAGAAAGAAATTGTATTTTTATTTGAGGTGATAAGAGTATAAAGGTAATCAAATGATTTAACAGAATTTTTTGTTTTTTTTGTAATCAAAAAAAAAAGTTTGGGGAATAAAAGATGCGCTATTTTAAATAAGATTAAATTTTTAGCAAATTTCGTGCATGTGCCATTTGATATTATGGAATTACAAAAGGGTTTTTTTCCTGCGGTATTTTTTGAAGTATATGTTCAAAAATTAAAATAAAATTTTTTTAGAAGATTATGCTTTTTAAAATTTAATCGTTACAATAAACCCCCAGACAAAAAAAAAACATGCATTTTAAAGGTTTTTTATGGATAACCTGTACAGGAAAAAAACCTTGATAGAAATGTACAAAAAAACCGAACTGTCTATTTTTTAGGCATTTTCCTGACATGCCAACCCAATCAGTATGTAAACAACAAAAATGATTTTTGATCTTTGCGAGAACATATGTTGCATTTTTGTTTGTAATAAGGCTATTATAAATTCAATAAATAACTATTTATATGTAAATATCATGATAACGTATGTACATGTATTTGATTAAAGAATCATTTAGAACACTCTTTAAGACGTTGAAAGTAAAACAATGAAAATGTAATACAAAATATTGCTTGTCTGTACGTTCTAAGACTAACCTTTACGATTGCGGGTCTGGATGTCTGCATTAACTTATAGAGACGATCTATTTCTTTCTGATGCTTTTCAGGTCCCATCTCACGTTTCTTTCGGCTGTGTATGTCGCACTTTTTCTTTGTGATTGAATTTGCCGTTCGACCACATTCCCGTCGCTTTTGTACAGTACAAATACCGTCTACACAACGACACGTCACTTCATTCCTAGCCGCCCATTTTTCTAAGACACGTTTAGACAGCGTGAACAGGTTGATATTTCCCGGCAATCTTCATAAAAGACCATAATGTTATATCTTATGCATTGATATATTTGCATTACTGTGTAATATAAAATACGTTCAGAAAAGTAAAAATATGAATATCAACAAAACAATAAGTTATTTAGAGAGTTGCTTAAAAACGCTTTGGTGAATATTTAAAAAAAAGGCTATACCTCCAGCTTTCAGAAAACCTGTAATCGTTGTTATTGCTTGCTTGGGTCCCATCTTTTAATACGAAATCATTATTCGGATCTCCATCAAAGTTACCACATAATCCTTGTGTGTTCCCAAGATCTTTTGGTGACATAATTATATCGATATTCATCGTGCTCTGGTAACGTCCTCCTAGTAATTTTACAATAACCTGCGTTCCAGTTGGTGTGATTATCTAGAACGAAATCATCTTGAAAACTATTAAAATATTACATGTACCTGAATCATGAAAAACGCACATCAGATTTAAAGTGACATTATTTCCATACATTATAAATCGTGCGAGTGCAAGTAAATGTCAAATAAGTTTGAATTTTGCCATAATTCTTATTTCTAATTTTATAATCAACTGTTAATGATTATATAATAACCCAAGTGGCACGTGGGAGTTTCTACACATAGTTTTTTTTCAGAATTCGGTTATGTTCGGTTGACAAAGACAGTAGGACAGTCTAATTAGGCAATTTCTATATTTTATCCTAAACTTTTCTAATTATCAGTTATTGGTTAATTAAGTAATTGAAAGAGCATCGAAACACGAGGCTATCTGATTTGTACGAGGGGGGCGTAGCCCCCCCCCCCCCGAGTATTAATCAGATTGCCGAGTGTTTTGATGTTCTTTCTCTTTTGGTATCATAGTCATGAAACCCCGGGAAAAAGTAACCAATGAACGAGCATCTGAATATGATATTTCTGTCGCTTTCCCTTTCTCTTCCGTCATAATATGTAAACCCCATCAAAAATGAGCCAATCAATGGACATGCTCTGGTGTGCGGGTAACTAATACCTGCACTCCAGTTAACGCACTGTGCATGTATATGTATACGATTTAACTCAGACACATTTTCAACAGAAAGGTCCCCAAACTATGATACGACCATCATAAATGATCAATTCTTTGAAATATTTCTGATTGAACTGAACTTCACAATGACAAAAAGGCATAATGCCACTTAAAAATGAAACCATAGCATAAAAAGATATGCAAAGCATAATTCACCATTAAAGTAGTACCTTATAAACTGCATCGTTTAACTTTTCAACTTGAATAATTCCACCATCATCACAATTGACGAAGTCTAGGAAGTTAATAGTTCCACAGCGGTTAATCATAAATACATCAGCACCAGCACGAACGGCAACAGCGCATGCGCAAACTGGTCCTCTTCCTCCACCAAAACAGTATTTCGTTCTTTCTTGTACCTTTTTTACAAATAAAATATCAAATAATTATTTTTTATCAATTATTACTTAAAAGCAATCGAAAAAGTCAATTTAGGTTAATCAAATAATAATCATATCAAAATACAGTACTAGAAAATTATGTTTTTTACATTTTCAGAGAAAATAAGAATGTATATCTCTATATATAAACAGTAAAAATAAAATAAAAGATACTAACTTCAATGTCACTGATTTTGTGTTGAAACAACATGTAATATCCTTCTCTTTGGTTCTCATACGGCCTTCAAGAAAAATCACGAACTTTAAGGCAATAATTGCGTCTTGTGTCGGAAAAAATATTAATTTGTGAAACAAATCTACGAACCATTAGATGTGCTCTTAAGCTTGTAATTCATTATAAAACATTCAAGACAAACAAGAATAGAGGAAACATCTTGCGACAAAATTGACTACATAGAAATTTAAAACGAACACAAGAGCTAAATAAAAAATGTCAAAAAGAGAAACCTAAGAGTATATTATCTCCTGTCTTAAAAGTTACTGATAACACAAAACAACATAAAATAGCATAAAATACCTTCCATCACCAGTTCTCATGTGTGGATCCACGTGCGAGTAGCACATTTTGTTTTGATATGTTCCAGTATCAGTCACTTTGACCTATTATAACCAATAACTGTACGCATTGTATATTTGACGAAAATCCTAATTATGTAAGGATTCGATCATTTGTTCAAAATACAATAAATAATAACAAATATAAAAACCGAATAACATAAAAACAATCCTACTAAAACTGTAACGTTTAATTCAAAGAAACGGATTACTTAAAGAATTACATGGAAGGCGGTACGATATTCCAATTACTTGTATACAATTATAAAATACCAAGCACTTCAAGCTGGAGGATAACAAAGTCTGTATTATCATAACATTATTTTGAGAACAAACTAAGTTATTCTTGTTTTTAGCATACGACATAAATACGAAACAAGCGGATTAAACTGCTTTCAAATTTCAGATAAACATGTCATCGAAGTTGTTATGGAAATGAGGTAGATATGCATACCTTGATATTTTCAATTGTGTATCCTTTCCATATAGCATGATCTACAGTACTTCCTATTTGAACACGAACACCAAACTCTTTCCCGTCATCATAATTACTATCAACAGTAGCAACTCTAAATTTATATTTCTTATTAGAGTCCCATGAATCTTTCTTTTGTAGAGTCTTTGGAAAAAAAACGAAGTGAAATAGCATTATGATAAGAACCTCACTTTTATTTATTCTGATCTAAGTTCCAAACCTGATAAATCAGATTTAAGTCAAAGTATAAAAACAAAGTAATCGAGTCTATCTAAATGATTCTTATAGAAATGAGGTTTCTTTTTCTTCTAGTGTCTTCTATGTTATAATCTGTTTTGAAAACAATCTGTGTTAATAATAGCAGAAATAAAAATTGCATTCTTGTTAAATTTATTTAACTACAGAACAAAAAGTATTGCTCATGATGGTCCTACCTGTATTTGGTTTGTGCACATATCATCATTATCAGCATTTACAGCAGATATACCAGCATCACATGGGTGTTCACTCAGATTGTCATCGTATAAAGAGACTGTAGTGGAACAAGACGTGCCTTCACCCTCAATATATTGGCATCCCATTGGAACAGTTTGTTGTATTGTAACCTCCTCAAAACTGCTTTTACTCACGGTAATTTCTTCTGATGAAGCCTTTGAAAATTCAAGCATTTCACAAATGGACATTAAATTACAATTACTCCTGTGATAACAAATAATATTAGATTCCTTCTTCTCGTTTTCATCACCCATTCATTTTTATTACTATCTATTTTAAGTGTATTGCTGAAGAATAATGCATGATTTAGTTCAAATACTCTGTACTTTAACCAAGCACAAGTAAGGTTAAGTTCGAAGCCTGTTGAAATTCTCTTTAGTTTTCATCAATGTACCACAAATGATGTATCTAAATAATTTCAAATACTTACCTGAAATCCTGCATAAAAAGGTTCGCTTAAAGTTTCACTCGAATCTTCTGTTTCATTTACTTCAATCACGCCACATTTAACCTGAAAGCATGAGATATCAAATCCTTAATTGAAATACCCTATTAGTTTACTATTTCAAAACTGCCACAGCAAAACATTATTTATTATCTAGTACTGACTGTTGAATGTATATGATGGTTGTTTGCAAAACATTTAACACAAAAATTTAAAAGATATTCTAAAATCTATTGTCTTAATGTGTATACTCTTTCAACAAACATATACCTCAAAGCCAAGACTATCTCTACCCATGTCTTTTTCATTCAAAACCAATTCTTCAGCATCTGTTGATGGTCCATATTCTTTGGTAAACACATCATCAATGTACCTGAACATGTTTGAATATGTTTGTTGTACACAACATAAATTTAGATCTCAAAGCAGCTCATTGAATGCATTTCCAGTAAGTTGAGCTTGCTATGCAATATACATTATTTGAAACCGAATAAAAAAGATATCAAAAGGAAAATTAGAAGTATTAAAACTATGTCAATAACAAAGTAATAGCAAAACCAAATTGACAAGTTTCTTGAAAAATTTGTGAACCGCTTTTACTACAAAAAAGGGTCCGCTATATAAATTCTTAAAATGCAGCATTTGTCTTAAAGTTGTATCAAAATATAGAATTTTATTGAATATATTACAATGAAATATTACCACTTAACTTTGTAGATTATCGTCCTATTTGTTTCCGGCATGCATTTAAACTGTAAGGAAGGTGTGAGCATTCGACGACCGCCAATATTCTCTTCTGTATAAACAAGTTCAGGTTTAACGATCACAGGTTGTTCAGGCGGTAGAAAAACTGCTGTACTTGGAACTATATTTGAAGGAAAATATCATTTTTGAAACCCAATATAACGCTAATACCTTGAATATTCAAATGAAGCAAAGTACCCATTATTTATGATTTCCATCTTTGTATATGTATTTAATGTGTAACATTTTTAATGGAAATAAGCTTAAACCAAGTCGTAACCAGGTATGAATTCAATCTCAAACGCGACCTTTATTACAAGTCTTTATATATTAATAAGCCTAAATATATGTGATATAATTATGTTATTAAAACACACACTTGTCTCAAAATATCTACATGATGACAATTAAGTAGTTAATAAATAGCAATGTAAGAAACGTCAAAACAGCAATTGGAAATTGTTAAAACTATTAAACTATGAAACTATTGTAGTTTATATGCTGTCTGTGAACTGCCATCTTTCTTTCTTAATTAAGTTTCTTTCATTTACATATTCGCAGCGGCATTCATCGTAAATGACGACATTTATAACATTTTGGCATCTTAGCTAATGCTTTCTTTTATTCATAGTGTTTCTTCACATTTAAATGTTTATCATTTCTCTTTCATTAGATAGCTCTTGTATCTGTCTGCATTAGGTATTTAACAGTGATAATCTTTTAGGAAAGTTACGTCTAATTTTGATTACATGTACATAGAAGGTTTTGTTTTCAAGTTAATGTCTTTAACGGTTTTTTTTTGTACTGTCGTAAAATCACATTTTAAAACGGGTGATATAAATATTTACCGGTTTATTTTTCTCGTAGTGTTGGACATTTATTTGCATATCTGTCTATCGAAATTAATATATAAAACAATATTGTTTTCGGAAAAGTAAAAGTTTACATTAATTTTACCAAAACAGTACGGTGTCCATGATTCTTGCCATGTCATATACGGAAGATAATAATGTATCCTTTCGCCACAAAGACGAATTTTAACGACAACGTCTAACAAGCAGTTAGGACTTATCTCTTCATTTACTATGCACGTCTTGAGTTCTTTAGGTTCTTCTCCTAAAGTAGCTGGTAGTTCCTCTAAAATGTGTGAATGACTATATCGCTCTAAATATCATTTTATTAAAATGATTCAAAATGATTTCTGTTTCTGTTTTGAAATGAGAAGTTAGTCATCTCAGAAAAAAAGAACACTAAGCAAGCAATATTCAATATTTCAAGACAAAATTGAAAAATATATAAATTTTTATGTATACATTTAATCAAATAATCAAAATTTATATATTTAAATACGTTCATACTCTCAGTTTGATACAACAAATAACTGAAGACTGAAAATTCAAAAAAAAAACAACACACACGCACTATTAAATGATTCTATGACAATCTGCATTATAATGATTCGATTTTTATCTTATATTAAACATAAATGTATCTTAATATCTATAACAATTCGAAGAATATTGTTACCTGTCAGAACGACAAAATATATAGCATTTGGACAAACACTATACATCTGACTTTTCGCTGGAATTTGCCAATTCCCTATAGGCATTCTATACCAGCCTTCATAATGTTCTGGTGGACGTAAGTATTGGTAATGGTAGGTTGGATAGACGTACCGTAACGATAAATCTTTCACATTTGTGTCACATGACTGTTGAGCTGTTGGAAAAGTTGATAGATCTTTTGAATCAAAACAATGACTTTTTGCGTGAGCGTAGCAGTTCTTATAGAAAATATAATTGGAATATTTTTCAAGTTTTTTCTTTTTTCTATAAATACAGGATTTATTTTCATCAAGTGGTATGAAAAATGTTTCATGAGTGGCGCTAGCTACGTGTGAAATATTATAATTATATTTATACCACAAGATGAAAATAAATCATTTAATTTATAAAACAAACTTGAATTTTCTGTTAATAATATAGATCTACCTTTTCTCACTCATTTTTACCATTACATTTGAACGACTGCCCTTTTTATTTTGAAACTTGGCCGGATATACAGAATTTCTATTCCGTTTCAAGAAAAATAAATCTTTCATGACAATAAATTTGGTTGTTGTTTTTTTTTACAAAATAACGAACACATAAAATGAATAAATAATTTGACAGAATATTTGAATAAATGAAATATTTATATGTAAATGTATGAATATATAAGTAGATAAGTAGATAAATAATTCAAAAATTTAATTGACTGATTTTCTATTTATTGGTTGATCGATCGATCGATCGAATGATTGGTTGATATGTGTGAAATTGCTTAAGTCATTGGTAATATGTTATTCAGCGATTGAGGGCGTATTAAGTTCAAATTCAAGAATAAATAGATAAAAAATAAATGAATAAAATGAATGAATGAATGAATGAATGAATGAATGAATGAAATTAGAAATATAGAAAAGAAAAGATCTAATAATTAAAAAATATGTTTTTAACTTACCGCCTTTTATGATAGCTAACACCAGTAAAAGAAAAATGATAAAATTCGAAATTGCTTTTTTCATGTGCATGTTTAAATATTTAGATAACTTTAAAACCATATCTAGACTATTGAAGAAAATAGCCTTTCCATTACTTAAGTACCCGTACAATGTTAAAAGCCACTGTCCTATTTACGATTAACGAGTTGTATGCAGTTGGCATTGGGTTTTATTTGATTAAGTTACGCTTTTGAACGTTTCGTATTGTTATTAAACAAGGAAGTGTGGATATAAATTACCTTAAATGAATCGTTGAATCAAACTTTTTTCACTGATTTCTCTGTGGGGATTATAATTTGTTAAAAAATATATATTGTGTGTGCGTGCGTGTGTGTGCGTGCGTGTGTGTGCGTGGTTTTTATTTAAGTTTCTATCTTACGGCCTTTATCAAAATAATACAACGCTAATTGATTTCAGCTATAATTGTTTTATTTTGTTAAAGGCAGAAAAGGCCGAAACGTTAAAAAAGGGAACCATATAAATAAATAGATAAATAAAATTATTCAATATAAGTTTTGAAGTATACTTTTTGACTTCGCAATGATGCGACATTATAAGGGAAGGGCTGGCGAATTTAAATTTATTCAATCTCGCAATATATTTCAGTTATACTGACGTACGATACCGTCAAGTCATAGCATGGCTCAGTCAGTTGATGATTGAAAACAACTACTTTTTTAATGCGTTTATTTAAGGTCGCCGCCGGAAAGCCAATATGGGCGACCGTAAACTCAGGTTCGGCAATCCTGGGGCGTCCCGCCGAGATTTTTTCGTCGATTTTTTTTCATCTTTTATCCGGGCATTATTTCAGGCACGAGCGGGCACCTGGGTAGAACCACCGACCTTCCGTAAGCCAGCTGGATGGCTTCCTGACATGAAAGATTTCGACCCGAGTGAGGATCGAACCTACAGCGGTGAGGGATCTGTGATCTCAAGTCAGCGACCTTAACCACTCGGCCACGGAGGGCCCCCGAAGATTTGTGTATCTTATTACCGCGGCCCCTAAGGTTAATTGTGCATCTTATTATCGCGGCCCTTAAGGTTAATTATGCATCTCATTACCACGGTCCCTATAGTTAATCGTACAACTTATTATCGCGACACCTATAGTTAATTATGCATCTTATAATCACGAACCCTTAGCTTAATTGTGCATCGAAGGGAACGAAATATTACAGAAAATGAAATTGATATCATCACGCTTGACAAAAGCATTTGACTGTCTGCAAAAGCAAAAAAAAATCTACTGATCCATTTTATGTGTCGAAATGTTCAATAAAAATAAATTCAGATGAGATTCGTCATCAAAAAGCAAGGTTATTCTGATAAAAATACTTAAAAATTAAAAGTGGAAAATGTCATAAAATAAGTATTTATAAGGAATTCAGTCCATAATTCAGTGGTTGACAAAAAGCGTTTACCGATTGCGAAGATTTTTCTACTGATTCGGTTATTTTGGCTAAATATTCAATTAAAAATAAATTCAAATGAGATTTGTCATCAAGAAGCATCGTTACCATTACAGAAAACATTTATGTTTTCCAGGCGAATTGTCATAATATCCGATTTTACGAAGAATTTTATGAAATTATAAAGTAAGCTTTTTTTAAGTAACAGATCGATAAGGGAAAAAGTCGGACCTAGGTAAAGTAGGACTCATTGAAGTGCGAAAGTTATTATCAATTCATTTCGATTCTGCGGACAATTTAAAAGATTAGCTCAGATATTTGATATCTGATTTTACCCTCGTTACGTTTCATATTTGTCAAAATAGGAGTGTGTGTTGGAATACGTAAAGAAGTGCTGCGCGTGGAGTGTAAGCTCTGGTTAAGCCCATGTGAGGTAAGATTTTCCACCACCGCTATTTTTAGTAACATTTACGGATTTTTCTATAATAAGATGCACAATTAACCTAATTGGCCGTGATAATTAGATGCACAATTAACCTTAGGGGCCGTGATAATAAGATGCACAATAAACTATAGGGGCCGTGATAATAAGATGCATAATTAATCATTGGGGTCGTGATATAAAGAAAACCTTATGGGCCGTGATAATAAGATGGATAATAAAACTAAAGGGCCGTGATAAAAGATGGATAATTAACCTTAGGGGTCATGATAATAGGATGACATTTAATTATTATTTATTTATTTATTTATTAAAGGTCTCATCTATATACATGGTACAATATAATACAACATTTAAACTCACATACATATTTATCCATCAAAAAACATATAGCACTATCAACAATAGCATGTTTTGATACATATTATGAAATGTAACAAACGGTTCTGTTACGTAGCAATTCTGCAACCTTAAATATTCGACATTAGATGCTAAATAAATAAAGTGAAATACTTTTATCATTCTTTGTATCTTTCATCAAATTATTGGGTATAACTTAAAGCCAATTAAAACGACTTAAGACGAATTTATTTTCTCGCCCTAAAGACAAGCAGTTTATTTCAAATTTGAGAAAAATTGGAAAAATGTTTGTTTTGTGAAGATAGAAGGAAAAAATATTGGGCTATGAAATACTTAACCAATGTAGGTCAATGTTAGAGTTTCGATTTCATAAATGTTATCGAATTCTATTTTACTGCTTAGAGTTTTACATAAATCAATCGGTAAGTAAATAAATTATTGTAAAATTTAGATCTTATAAGTAAGTAGATAAGAAACAAACGTAAGAATTTATCATTTAATTAATTGATTGATGAAAATTTTCTTTCTCTCTGATTATTTATGAGTGGTTCGATCGACTGATTGATTGATTGTTTGGTTGACTGATTGATCATTAACTCAAATAAATTCATATGGGAATTAAATATATAGAAATCATGTGAAAAAAAAAGATTTTGTGATCAATGACAAAAAATCAAATTGAAAATAGCTAACCGACACTTTATTGATAAAAAGAAAAATCAAAATAGAAAATATATATTTATATTATTATTTATTACCGCCTTTTATAAAAAAATTCCAGTAAGAAATACAGAATCAGAAAAAAATGTTCTTTTGCCATGTTTGAATACCACCAATAAAAGGTTTATGTCATTCTTTTGAAACAAAGAACCTGTCAAATACTTAAATCTCCGTAAAGTATGTCACATTAATGTCTCTTTTTTGTTTAATTTTTCGATTTCATTTGCCTTTGTATTCGGTTATGCTACTCGTACGCTTTGATACGCTTCGTATTTTTACTACTAACACGGAAGTTGAGATACACATTATTCTTTCTGATCTATAAGAATATTTAAAGTCCAATTTTGAGATAAACATTATTATATCATTTAAATAAAATATTTTGTAATTTTTCGAAATAATTTGATGTACTATTATTTCTACTGTCACTGACAACAATTTAAGAAATGTTTTTATTTATTTATATTTATTTATTTATCTATTTATTGATTATTATCATTATTATTATAATTATTATTAATATTATTATCATTATTATTATCATCATCATTATTTTATTATTATTATTATTATTATTATTATTATTATTATTATTATTATTATTATTATTATTATTGTTCTTGTTGTTGTTGTTGTGCGACATAATTAACTTAGTAGTACGGATAGCTATACATAAACTATTGACATAATCTTCCTATTTTATCCAGTCATGACGTTCACAATTGGCTAGACTTCAGAAAAGATAAAAGACAACAACACAATAACCTGTATCCATTATTTTAGTCGTGGTACAATACAAATCAAAAGAGCAAAATATAAAAAAAGATTCATTATGAAACAAACGTTGCATAACTAATTATAACATGCCTCTCTAAGTGAGCAAGTTATGTCGATCATTTTTAAAACAATAACCATACTACCATTAAAGATATCTGAACAATTAAAAAAAATACACGAACTTATGAAATGCTATAATAGCATTTAAAATACATTATGTTTTAGGTAATGGCTATTAACGTTCATGATTAAAAAATATACCAGAATATATTGTTTAAACCCACGGTGTTTCTTTAAACCTTTTTAGTTCTGATATAAAATTTAAAATGCATTTTAATTTTTCATTTTGATTTATGACGACGGCAGTACTACCGTACTACAAATAACGGTACGTGCTAATGGATCTGGGTATGGCGACGGAAGTTCTACACGTATTTATAAGTCTTCTATGTGTTATGGTTCCGTCGTGTATGTGCTGTTGATTCAGTGCATAACGATAGTAGTACGACAAAAATAAGTCTTATAATATGACAAATATAAGTCGTGTGTTTGTCATGCTACATTTTTAATTGAAAATCCAAGCACTGTTATAACAAAATATAGAAACGTTAATACATATTTTCTTTACTAGGTTAGGTCAATGTTACGGCATATTATCATAAAGAGCAGACACGGTAATGTATTAATGTAAGTTTAATTTTTTATTTGCATATAAAATTTCTATTTCGGTTCAAGTATAAAATAAATCTCTTTGC